TCTAAATACAGGAAATGCTTTTAATAGACTTATGTTCTCTTTCCAAGCTTCAGAGTGCCTTTATCTTTCAGATGTTCTTGATGTTGTGTCCTACAGATGTCACTGGAAGTTCTGAAGAAGAGATTGTATAAAAATTTCAAAATCTTTTCCCTTTGTTATACAAACTGCAAAGAAGTTTTCAGTGTGTGCTGTGATCTCTCTTTTTTTTTTTTTTTTTTTTGAGTAAGAATGCTGAGTTGGAGTACATGCGTATTATTTCAGTCTATTCAATTTTTACATGACTCTAAGTATTCCTGCATATATTAGTCAGTATATTAGCATATATTAGTCTTATAAAGCACTCAATTTTCATCTAACTCATCTGACTGTAGTTTTTTACTAAGACTTGACAGGCAAGTTAATAAGTTTGTAGCTATTTTCTGCCTTACTCATTCCTCTTCCTGTAGTATTTTCAATGGAGAATGACACTTCTTCACCCATGGTTTGCTGTTGCCTGAGATAATGTCTTCTGTTTTATCTCTTCTATAGATTCTCAGTGATTATCAGTTGTTACAGCTCTAATTTTAAAAATATGTTACAAGCTGCTAAAAGGCATACTTCACTTACTTTAGTTTGAACAAGTTAAATTTATTTCTTCTGTATTGTATTTACTACATTTAACAGACCATATAGTTCTAATTGCTTGAGGGCACATATTACTCTTAAATCACTGACCTAAACTGCAGCACTAGGAAAAAAAAAAAAGTCACTCTTTTGTAGACTCTTAGAGCCAATTTCTAATCTCAGTTATATTGTTATAAATCAAATTTAACTCTGTTCACTGTATTAACACCATCGTAACCAAGATCACATCAAGCACCTTAACCCTGGGTTCTGACCCGAAATGCAAGTGCCTGTGCGTTTTAATATGCATGATTTTGTATATTTGGTGAGTAGATATATCACTATAAATATTAATCTTAACAATCAATTGGACAACTACTGTTGACCCCTACTCAGACACAAGCTTTCTTTATTACCCGGGCAAATATAGAGAGAATCTCATCTCTAAAGGATTGAGTTTTCTAGGATGGAACTTCTGTTGAATTTAAAAATAAAAATCTAAGGGTAGAACATAGAATAGCAGAGCAGTCTTTTTATCTTGGGATGTATCAACATATTTAGCTTGTGAAATGTAATGCTATGTTTGACACTGTGGGGAAAAAAATAAGAGATTTCATTCTATTAAGTTAGCTTTGAAATCTGACAATTTTTGGAGTAACATCTGAATCATAAGAAGGTGATCTGTATGAACTAAAATTGGCAAACAGGCAGGATGTTCATTGTTTCCAACTTTAGATCCATGTTCAGTCATAGAATCATAGTTTGTTCAGAAGGAATTAAATAAAAGCAAGAACTTCAATCCTTCTCTTCACAGATCTGGATTCTGAGCCTATTGCAAACTGAAAATAGTTCATAAAATTGTCAGGATAATTTTATTAATACCCTAAGAGTTAAATGTGAGAAAAAGAAATGCTTAGAATAATTACTGTAAAGTAATATATGTAAAGCATCATCTGACAGAATACAGACTGATTGGCAGATAGTCAGCAAATAGCTCTATATTTGTTTTAATACCCATTCTTTGAGCAAAATATTCAAGTGATGTCACAACCTTAGGTTTTTAATACAATCCTCGCACACCTCCATGTGATCCAGGATAATTATCACCTTCTTCTTCTTTTTTAATGTAAATACCAATCCTGGAGTATTTATAACATTTTGTAACTGTTTCACATGCTTAGACTTACAAACTTTAAGCTTGGATGATAATAAATAAGCTTTGTAAACTGTTCTGATCTAAAATATTTGCCATTGCTGGGCTTCTTGATTTACTTCAAGCTTTCTGGCTAAATCTCACTTAAATTAATGCTTTAGACATATTTTCAGTTTCTACAAATCTAATATCCTCTGATTTTACACACTCTTAAATCCCTTGAATGTAGTGTTTGTAGTTTGAGATTAAAATGCAGTAATTGTAGAACTATTAATCCAACAAAAATAGATTATAATAAAATAGTAGAGCAATAATAAAACAAGTGGAAACATAAAAATCAAGGTGTTCAAAAAACATAGCAATAACTCTAGGTGTAAACAGTGCCTGTTCAATAGCCACACAGGCTCATTCTGTCACTCTTTTTGATGTACTCAGTGTGATGCATGGCTCACTAAGAACATGTGAGAACAGAAGAAACAGCGTGCTGTACACCACATGAAAAACACTACCTCACGTTCAGGAGTGCTGTGCGGAATTGTCTGGAGAGTCTCTTATAGTTGGTGAGCTCTGTAAGAGCTTTTATTCTCTTTGTGTCCTTAAGGAAAAACAGAGTTTTGCAGAGCTGAAGTACATAAATTGTATGTAGGCCTGGCCTGGCTTCTGTGATTAAAGAAGCCTTCTGTCATAATGTACTTTCATGTTTTCTCTACTGCAAAAGATCCTAAAGGTATAATGGATAATTATATGCTTTCTACAGAATATTTACTTCTACCATCCAAGAAATACTGGACCTGAAAAACTTCAATAAATGAATAGCATGTTTCTGAAGAATGTGGGGGTATTTTTTTCTTACAGTTTCCTTTAGTTATTTATGTCCAGATATTGACTGTATGAAAAGCTGGCTCCTTGCATTCCCTGCTTGTATACCTGCACAGGGCTTAGTGTTCATAGATTGTCCATAGAAGCCCTTTTCAGCATCTTACACTCTTCTCACTTCTTTGCAGGAAGCAAGCTGCTAGAACAGAGAACCTTTGGGTACATATGAGAACACACTGTTGTCGTAGGGGGACTCATGTCAGAAAGACAATACCATACTCCACATTTGCTAAATGTTCCTTGGCTTTTCATTACTAGACAGAGCGTGAAGAGTTGTGTGAAAGGGAGCAGGTAGCAGCTTTCATCATTCTGCTTGAACAAGAGCAGCTAAAGTGGCAGCTAGGTCTGGGGATTTCTCAGTTTTCTGCTACAAATAGAATGATGCTTGTAAAGAACACATGGGATATTATTTTGCCCATATTTTCCCAGTTTTGGCTGTTCCCTCTACTGCGTCTGCTCATATGATGGACTAAGAATTCAGAAACATGCAATAAGATTTATCCCATATGTTTTTAACAAGGAAGGATTTGAGGCTTAAGTACAGGAAATCCTGTGTTACATAGGATTTCTGGCAGTCTTTGGTAACATTTTATCATTTGCAGAAGAATATTACAAGCAGAAATATTTGGTTTTCCTCCATAATTATCAAGACACAATTCATATATGCTGGCTGTGCTTTGGTTTGTACAGTATTTAAAAATAAATCAAACTAAAGATAATAAAAATAATTTGCCTATGGAAGAATTCAACTATATTGTCTTTTTTCCTCCTACAGCTTTTGAGGGAAATTATTGGTCCCACTTTTTTCTCCAAAAGCAGAAAGAAACCTTGCAAAGAAGTAAGTATCTGACATGTTATTTAATGTTCATGTTGCAGCTCTGAGTAACGGCTCTATTCAACATCAATTCAATATTGCAGGAGACTTTGTACAAAACATATACTAAAAGTAAGTTCTTGCCTCAAGGAGAATTGGTTTTAAAGGATTAATTTTAGAAGCTGTGAATGAGGAGTTTTGCCTATTAAAAGGTGGTATTGTGTTTTGTCTGGCTGTGGTAAGTTTAACACTAACTGGAAAATGCTTTTGTCTACCACGCTGTGTTTTTGATGCCAAGGGACAGAAGAAATATGAGCGGTTACAGTAACTTTCAACTGGTGGGATCCAAATTTAGAAATTCGTTTTTGTGATCCATTTGGTTTTCCTTCCTGCAGATCACTGTCTAATAATATTATCTAAGAATTTAGGAAATTGATTCTTTTGAATCATTTCCAAAATCCAGGAAGTGAGGGAAAGTTGATTCTATATACAGATTTTTTTTTTAAGATTACTGTAAAGATTACAGATTGCCCTTGTGAATAAATTTGGTGTGGGAACAGAGTATGGAATAGTTCTTCTTCACTCTTATATTCAAGCAAGGAGGACAGTGTGGACATAGCTCCCCTACAGCATCCAACTGTAGCAATTCTTGCCACAAGTCCTGATAATTTCCCAGAAGTTCCCCCTCAGCTGATAAGAAAGTTTGTCTGCATGCATCCTATTCTGTAATCGAAGTTGACTCCAGCTGCCTACTTACTGCTAATTTGTGCTAGTCCTTCTGAGTGTAAGAAATACAAAAGATGATGAAATACTCTTACTGAAAGTTCAAAAAAATTAGCATTACCACTCCAAATTACTAAAAAAGGTTAGCTATCAGAAGTACTACTAGAACAGTCAATATAGTTGTTTGTTTATTAATACCATAATTTATAATTTATATTATAATTCATAATTAAAATGGTAACAAAAAAGTTATATAAAGTGCAAATGTTATTATGATTGGCATTTTTTTAGACAGAAGTAGCAAAGAATGTCTTATGTGTTTGCTCTTCCGCTTAAGCATGGAAAGGCTACATGAAAAGCTTCATTAGTTTATGTTAAAGGGAAAAGTAGTTAAATGCATCCCATTAGAAGAATTCAGCAACTTGTCTGTGTTCTTAAAACCAGAGGAAGAGTGGGGCATAGATATACAGAAATTAAAAGAAAACGCCTAGACATCACTTAATTTAAAACTGTACTCAAAAGACAAATATCTGTCATCTGACTTTAAATTTTCCTGAATTATTCATATTCCCATTTGTTACTTTTTTTTTTTTAATAAGACTTAAATAACAACAAATAAACTACATTCTGAAGGCACTATGTATTTATAGAAATGGACACCTATTGCACTCTGACCGTAATCATTCCCTGGCATGCTCTGAAAAAGCTGGGGTTTTCTGGTCCTATCTGTTAAGCACAACATTGAACCGGCTAGGATTGGACATGAAGGATCAATGATAACAATTAGCCGATTCCTATTTTCCAGTTAGACGTTCTGGACAGCCCAGAAGTATGGAAGAGGAGTACTTTGTGTCAACAGGTAACAGCTCATTGGAAAACAGTTTTTTCTACAGAATAAAAACAACAGTATTCTCCAAACATCACATCGCTCTTAAAGAGCAAAAATATGTTTCAGCTTTAAAACAATGAATATAAATTGCAGGTAGACGTTGCTAACCTTAACTGATAGTTTCTGCTTCTAAGATACAGTCTAAAATATTGAACTTCATAAAACTACATAAACAAAATTATTGAACAATGAGAAGCAATGATGTAAGTCTGGAAATAGATAAAAAATGAGATTTTACTTCAGTAGTTTTATCAGCATCAGAGGGACAGTTCAAATGCTCTAAGTAGGTATAGAAATGTCTGTAACATCAAATGCTGGAGTTGTATCTCTTTTTATGATTCATTTCAACCTCCTAATATCTGTCCTTTCAGTCAAGAAGTGATTATTAAAAATGATAAGGGGTTAAACCATTCCCTATATTTACAATGTTGGTTTGAACTTTGTCACACAAACACAGAACTAAAAAAGTGGGGACTTAAAAGTGGAGCTTTGAAAGCTGTCTTTGGATACTAATGATCTGACTCTGCAGTAAATTCACGATACTTAGATAGGCACAGATAGCCCCATAAATGTTGTGTCTGGGATGCTAAGGTAGCATTCAGCCACAGTAAGCTTCAGTAGCAAGTTATTACCTTTATAAACACATCAAATAGACTGGAACAAGGTAGTTAACACTGAAATCACCCAAGGAGATGCAAGGGTGTTTCTCAAAGCTAAAAGGAAGAAAAGGAGCTCTCCTGCTTACAGTAAATAAAAGAGTATTGCTCTTACTCCAACTGTTGTTTGACTTCCCAAATAGAAGTAAAATTTTAAAGCTACAAAAACTTCTCTAGAATGTTGTTCACGTGATTAATTAATTAGAAACTTATCAGATTTTGCTGTTACCTGTGTTTGAAATGGCAATGAGAATGAATAAATGCACTGCAAGTAGGCCTAAATCCATTTTTCTCATTTATAGTTTTGAGCAAGGATTCCTGTTCTACCTGGGGCGGAGGGCATTTTTCAACTTTTGATAAATATCAGTATGACTTCACTGGGACTTGCAACTATATCTTTGCAACTGTATGTGATGAATCCAGTCCAGACTTCAACATTCAGTTCCGCCGTGGGCTAGACAAAAAAATTGCAAGGATCATTATTGAACTGGGTCCTTCTGTCATCATTGTTGAGAAAGACAGCATTTCTGTCAGGAGTGTCGGGTAAGATTCTGAGATGAAAGGAAGAAAATATGTTAAAAAAGCAAGAAGCAGTTTCAACAAAGTAGCCTACTTTGTGTCAAAAGTGAATTAACAAAGAATTAACATAGAAGTTGACACATCTAAACAGATTACTTCTATTTCTTCTTATCAAACATTTACACTATCTAGAATCCAAAGTATTTCATTTGCAGCTTTTGAATCAATCTTAGTGTACATTTGTATAGGCAAAGGGATAAACTAACCTTCTCCAACCAAAACATTCTCACATTGAAACTACAGTCTCCTAGGTGATACTGGTGATACTGGTATGGTTACAGTAGTTTAAATTTCCTCTACAAGTACTGCTAAAGATTATATAGGTCCTAAAGGTACCTTTATAATTTTTAGAAGGTACTAAAAATTTTCAGTTCCTATGTTATGCTTAAAGCATATTTGATTTGAGACTTGGTAACTCTGAGCCCTCTGTACTAAAGGTAACACATCTCATTTATAAGAGAAACTCCGAAGTGTTCAACAAACTGAGAAACTCTGGAGGGGCTTACATTATCCAAGTATTATTGTTTTCAGAAAACAGCTGTTTTACTGAGGAATTGAAACCAAAGTTTCCTATCCATTCTATCTCAGTCATTCTCCAAAAGCCAAGATTGATCTGGTCTTGGTGTTGCTGATAGCCCTGCTTCAGGACTGGTTAACCATACAAGGTCCCACCTAAACAACATTTCTGTGATTGTATTACATGTTTACTGAGCACTTAGAAAAATACCTTAGTTCTTTAATGTTGTTGCTTTACAGTGTTAAAATTCAGCTGCAAGGCTGAAAACTTCCTACAGCATTCCCTTTGTGAGTTTCTTTGACTTGTCAGTTTTTGTTCTTAGCAGTTGACAGGCTAAATAGTCTGTAGAAGTTCTTCAGGATAACCAACATCAGTTTTACTTACGTAGACCATGCATTGTTTTTAAATGTATATCTCTGCCCTAATAAAACCAAATCAAGTGAATATACAGAGTCCTACAAAATTGGATCAGTGGTATAATACATGTAATCATATCTTGGTGATTCTTCCATGAAACAGCTGATATTGATTTCAGTATCTACTGACACATTAAAAATGTTAATTTCTCAAAATATTATAGTTACAAAGGAGAAAAATTCTACTTCATGTTGCTACAAGTACTAAGATTGCAATGTGTATTATGTCTAAAAAAAAAGACAGCTAATACCCACATAACAGTGATATGAGAAGCTCAGTTTGTCTTCTCCCACATTACAGTGTCATCAAGCTGCCTTATGCCAGCAATGGAATTCAAATAGCACCTTATGGGCGCAGCGTCCGCCTTGTTGCCAAGCTGATGGAGATGGAACTAGTTGTCATGTGGAACAATGAGGACTACCTCATGGTTAGTAAAATGTTCTCATGAAGCAGAAAATAAAATTCTTACTGACTTACTGGATTGACAGTTTTTAGATATAATTGGAGCTCTTTGGGTGTGCTTAATGTTTGGATGTTTATTTCCTGTTTCATCTATTAACGTTCTTGCTTTTTATACCTACATGTTTCTTTAAATTCCAGCATTGGTTATTATCTGAAGCAACCAATGTTGAGATCTATGGATGTTTTCTTAGACTCTGTGCTTTCCTGAGGCTATTCCAGCAGCATAATACACTATATTCCAGCACATGCTATATTTTACATAAATCCAATTATTTTCTGCGATTTAAGATTTTCAGAATAATTTATTGATTGTAATCAGAAGCAGTATTACCACTTCACTATCTAAACCAATAAATAAATGAATAACCTTCCTCTGAAAGTAGATTTTCTTCTTGTAACATTGAATTTCTTAACAGAACGATCCTGAAATACATGCTTTGTCAACAAAGTTACAAAAGGAAACAGCATCTTTTCCTTTTCTATTTCTCTCCAACTCCTTACAGTATTAGCCACCCTCAGTTAACTGCAAATCTCTTAGAATCTTGTTTTTTCATTGAATAATAAAAAAAAATCACAACATTAACTACATGCTGATAAGGAAAGGAAGTTACTGATTTCAGAACTCTTCATTCAGGTCAAGACAATGATATTAATGAGAAGGATTTCCTTTAATTGGATTCTTGAACTGAATTTGTTTGAAAAAGTAGTACTCTGCAGATCATTTTAATTAGGGTGATCCTTTTTTGTGTTTCCTTTGATTTTATTTTAGGTTTTGACTGAAAAAAAATACATGGGGAAGACCTGTGGAATGTGTGGAAATTATGATGGTTATGAACTAAATGACTTTGTGAGTGAAGGTAAGATCTAATGGCAGATCACATGGAAGGAGATCTAATCAAACTAAGTCATTCTTTAATTGCTATGGCTGTTCACTCAGTTTTAGAGTTGAGTAGAGCACTATACATCACCAACAAACCTATCTGTCATACAATTATGCTAAGCACAATTATTTGCTGTGGCAATAATGTTATAGGTTCCCCAAACAAGTGATAAGATTTTAGAATCAAGCAGTAAGAATCATGCTTTCTCACCTAACTTTCAAGACAGTCAAGTTCTTAGCAAGGCACAGTGAGTGAGATGACTACATCAGATAGAAACAAGAATGAGGCTGTAATAAAAAGAACATAGTGGACAAGAATATTAACAAGTAGTTTGTCCAATCAGGGTAAAACTTCAGAAAAAAACTCATTGGTGCTGAGCATTTGGCATCAGCCCTATCTGTGATTCAGGGAGTGCCCCTCACGCTCACTCTAACTGGGCTGTTGGAGTGGTATTCATGAGCGGTTGGAGCTCATTGCCCATGGACCAAGAACACATCCTCTAGTGTTTTTTTTTTACCTGATAGCAATTCTGTATACCAAGGCCAATCCACAATGCAAACAAAATTGCACTAGGAACAATAGGAATTATTTGCTTCAGAAGCACACTGCTAATCTGAACTACAAGGCTAGTGTGGAAACACTAAATTGCACAGTGAACTAATTTCAGAATAATTTTTCCAAATGCAATATTCTATACACAGAAAAGAACTTTGAAAAGGCTTCAATATTTTTTAGACCGTGATGAGTATAACCATATATGTAGGGGAAAAAAGAGTGCAAGATAGGGTGAGGAAGCATGAATTAGCCTCTGGTACAAAATTTAATCACTGGTAGAAAAAAAACAGCAGTAGCTGCTAATCTGGTGAGGTATTTGATGTGATAGATAGATAGATTAGGTAACAACCCACAGATGATCAAGGTTGTAAAACTAAGTTTAACTGAAGAGATTACAGGCAATTCAGGAAACTAGGCTTAATAGCAACTTTTATAGCCAAGGAGTAGAATCTGAATTTTACTCCATCACAGCAACAATTAAATGAATCCATGTTTTTTTTCCTGACAAATTATAACCCTTCAATTTACAGGTAAATTACTGGATACATACAAGTTTGCTGCATTACAAAAAATGGATGATCCATCAGAAATCTGTCTGTCTGAGGAGATATCAATTCCTTCCATTCCTCACAAAAAATACGTAAGAAAGATCTTGGATTTTCTGCAGTGAGATTTTTAATAGAGATAGACGAAGTAGAAGAGAGGCTATGGTTTCATAAAATGCACTTTCAAGAAAATAGTTAGTTTTAAAAGTTGTATACCTTGATACAAGAAAGAAGAGTTCTTTGCAACAAAATACATTTTGAAAAAGGCTCAGGTACTCTTGAATCAGGATTTGTGTCATTCATATAAATATACCAATAGCTCACAGCCTTCTGAAAATTGATGCAGATCATCACAGGAAATTCATGGAGCTTTAATGAACTTAGTGTGAAACAACTAACAACCTGAAATTGTAAGCTGTACAAACTTGAAGACATTCAGAAAAACTTTCAATATATTGCTAGATAACAGCATTTGCAATAGAGTCACTATCTGTTGCTATTGCTTCCAGACCTAGATGGGAAGAAAATCAACGTACCTGAAACATGATGCATCCATATTTGTGTGTTTGACTAAAGGCAGGCACTTGGTAGCATCAAAGAACAAAAAAGCTTCCATTTCTTACAATCTGCAGATATAAGAATTAAATCATTCTTAGAATGATCTTCTTGTTTTATCAGGGAAAGTCAAATCATAATTTCCACAGTGAAAGGTGTTTCTGTGGGTCCTGTGAGGAAGATAAATTTGTGAAGAAGAGACTTGTAAATATTATTTGTATTCACACTGAAAAAAATTACTTTGATCTGGTGGAAAATTTCTGTTGGCTGGGAGGTTTAAGCTCTTTACATTCTCTTTGCTATGTTATATTTCAGTAGGCAACATTAATTATCAAATGCATACCCAAAGGGGAATGCATGTTGATATATCTACACAGTGATATTTGTCCAGGAACACGTCCGTCTCCCTAATGAATCACCATGAGACAACATACTCTCTCTCTGTTCTCAGCCATTCACAGGGAGATTGATGGCACTAAAATAATGGCTACTGTTCACCTTATGAAGAAGTGAAACTCATTCCATGCCTATTACTAAGCTAGGGGAAAGAAAAAAGACAAGAATAAAATCATAAATAGCAGAGATTTCCTTTTCTGGTTTTCAGATGAGGAAAATACTGCTAGGATCATTTGTTTCCTTTTTTTATTTAGGCCGTGATTTGCTCTCAGCTGCTTAACCTGGTGTCACCAACCTGCAGTGTTCCAAAAGATGGGTTTGTCACTCGTTGTCAACTTGACATGCAGGACTGCAGTGAGCCAGGACAAAGGAACTGTTCTTGCTCTACACTGTCAGAGTATTCAAGGCAATGTGCTATGTCCCATCAAGTAGTGTTCAACTGGAGGACTGAAAACTTCTGCTGTAAGTTCAGATGTTTTATTCATATGGATTGCATTTAATTTCAGCCAGGGTAGTAAATTGATAAAAATGAAATGCTTCAATGGGAACATATTTCTTTTTACTCATGGAAATGCTCAGTTAACTTGAAAAAATCTTTGAGGTTGGCTACCATATAGATTTTAGCATAAGAGTAGTGAAATCCCTCTTCTAGTTTCAAGGCCTTGTATCATTTCACCCTACCTCCATATCTCGTGTTGTATTCTTCTGTTCTTTTCATCTTCATATGTATTGGCAATGCTCTTTTTTTTTCTATTTACTATGATAATTTTTCATTCTTTCCTCATACATATGAAAATTTTCTCTTCTAATTTCCATTACTATCCCCAAATCTTTTAATTTGCACTTCCTTCTGAAGTAATTTTTCTTCTTCTCCAACATTACCCCTCTTACATAAATTGTTAACCCATTTTATTTTTCGGTTGGTTTTCAATTGATTTTAGTTCTTCAAAAGAGTCAGTGTCCACAAAATGCCTCGAGGAATTTATAAATATTAGTAAGGCACAATATGCATTCACAGAACTGTATTATTATTTCTTAATAATCAGTGAATCAGTGAAACAATAGCCCAATCTTCTCTAAATCATAGCAGTTTTCATGCTGAGTACTGAGGCAGGGTAAGAGACTATTAATGCTAGTTTTCACAACATCTTCTCCATCCCCTGTTGTAGATGAGAGATTCTTCTGTTTACACCTTAAAAACCTTAACATTTGCACTTCTGGTTGTTGCAGCTGTGGGGAAATGTTCTGCTAATCAAATCTACGAAGAATGTGGTTCTCCATGTATTAAAACCTGCTCCAACCCTGAGTACAGCTGTTCCAGTCACTGTACCTATGGTTGCTTTTGTCCAGAAGGTATCATCTCTGTTTTCATCATATCCTTAATGATCCATAGAGATACTTCTGGTGTAGATCTAGTCAAGTGGATTAGTATTCTTACACAATGCAACAATGGTACATTCCAGAGCATTGTGCTGCTAGAATTGCCATTTCTCATGTAACAAAACACAACCAGAGTCTTAAATAGTCACTATCATAAAAGACCCTTGGTTACTATTTGCTAGAAGGTAGTTGAGAAAGCATTTTCTTTACAATGCTATAGCATGTGATGGGATAATTATAAGTTGCTTTCTTATATTTCTGTACTATAATGTAAATAGAGTAAGATTTAATTTATTTCCTTTGCTAAACAGGTATCTTCCTTTCAGAGCACCAGCAAAAGGTAGTATACCTCTGAAAAGTTCTGCAATTTTAGAAGAATTTTGTAAAAATCCTTTAAAATAATTCAAGCTAACATGCTTAGAAAAGCTGTAATTATTAAACCATTCTCATCCACCATTTTTATCTTTGGCAGGAACCTTTCTTAATGACATCTGGTTTTGGAAGGCATGTAATTTATTACTGCTAAGTAAATATACTAAAGTGTACGTCTGATTTTTGTCTTCTCTGGCAGGAACTGTTCTTGATGACATCTCAAAGAATCGCACATGTGTTCACCTTGAACAGTGCCCATGTACACTGAATGGGGAAACTTATGCTCCTGGTGATACAATGAAAGCAGCGTGTAGAACTTGGTGAGTAGCAACAGGTTCTTGAGAGGATGCCAAGCACCCTTATTAAGTAACTTGACAATTTAGCCTAACTTTCTTGAGGGCAACTAAAAATGTGTCATATCGTTTCTGAGGTCACACTCTTTGAGTGCTAAAAAACATTTTTAATTAAATTAACATGTGCATATCTTATTTCTTGATTCGTCTCATGTAGAAATACAAATGCTCTTTTAGATCATATAAAACAGTAACTTTTTTTTTTAACCTTTTCTGGTAAAATGGAGGTAAAATTAGAATAAAACAAATATTTAAAATTTCTTTCTGGCTGTCTCAGCAGACCAAATTACCAAATCAGTCCTGAAAACTGTCTGAATTCTGTAAAAGAAAATAGCCACATAAGACAATATTTGTTTTTAATTTTGAAATTATTTTAAATGTAGAATAATTGTGTGGTGTTAATTTTCTTGCTACCATCATTCTGATAAATAAAAAAGACAATAATATCAGAACTGTAACAATGAACTCACTTTTTATGAATAACATTTTCAGCAGAGATTATGACAATCCATGGAAGGGTTCAGCAATTTCAAGAGGAACAACTTCAGCACATGCACAAACACACAGAAGATCAAAGCATCAAACTATGAGGCAAAAAGTGATACAAGTACAAGATATTTTCCACCACTAATAAGTAATTGACATTTTAGAATGAAGATGAAGAAGTTTCAGAACAGTGGAAATAAAAGTTAATATTATATATGTTACATTGTGTATACTAACCAATTTACCAAGTTGATCAGCTGCAGAAAAACTTCCAGATAGGAGGAGCAAATCATCTTTGCTGATAAATAATCACTTGGAAAGAGAATAACCTTACACAGAACTCTTGTTTTCCTCAGTAAATGTACAATGGGTCAATGGAACTGCAAAGAGTTGCCCTGCCCTGGAAGGTGCTCATTGGAAGGAGGCTCATTTGTTACCACGTTTGATTCTAGATCATACAGGTTTCATGGAGTTTGCACTTACATTCTTATGAAGGTAATTTCTTGAAATCTAGAAACACACAAAATCAAATGGATGTATGTCTGTCTTTAATTTCCTCTTAGAACACAAGCTGAGACCTTCCAATGTATTTATTTCACAAATAATTTTTACTCTAACAGACATACATTTGCATTATTTTCCTCCAGAGTTCCAGACTGCCACACAATGGAACCCTAATGGCTATTTATGAAAAGTCTGGTTATTCTCATTCTGAGACATCACTTAGTGCTATAATTTACCTGTCTACAAAGGTAAGCAATCCCTCCACAGGTTCTATCCAGCTTTTCATTAGTCAGGCTAGCAAAATAAATATTTTAAGCAGAAAAATCATGGGGAATAGATACTATGGTATGCACAGTAAATATCTTTTTGTCTTTTCAACTTACGAAGTTAGGAGTGCTGTGCAGAAGACTACAGTATTTTTGAAGTGAAAACTGAAGACAGTATGGGAATGGAAGAAAAAGCTTGAATCAGTCTTTTCCTGTTATATACGTCACTGAGAATATAGTTGCTTAAGTTAAAGAAAACATAAATACAATCAGTACAAATGTTTACTTTGGATTCCGTGTCCTTTTCATACAGGACAAAATTGTGATTTCTCAGAATGAACTTCTTACTGATGATGATGAACTTAAGCGGCTACCTTACAAATCAGGTAAAGAAACAAAAATATATTATATAGTACAATCTGAATTATATTACATCCCTGTTTTATGCCATGCAACCCAACATCTTTAATCTCGCTATTCCTAGTAACAGTCAACAGGTTTTATAGGAAAATTATAATCTTTTCCAGTGCATCTGTCCCTCTGTGGAAACTTGAACGTGGAAGGAAAAGATGTGTAAACAGAATGCTTAAACATTTATATGTACATTAAAATCACTACTTACACAGTATTCCTATGCTTGAATATCTCTGTTTCTAAATCATCTTCTTCTTTTAGGAGACATCACTATTTTCAAACAATCCTCGATGTTCATTCAAATGCATACAGAGTTTGGTCTGGAACTCATCGTTCAAACATCACCTGTGTTCCAGGCTTATGTTAAAGTCAGTTCACAATTCCAAGGCAGAACCCTAGGTAAGAAATCTAGTCCCATGAAAAGGAGACAATTCAGACAGTGTAATTTTGAAAGCTTAGTACTCATCCTACAAGACAAACTTTTTTATCTGGATTCAACAAAGAAAAACCAACAAAAATAGCTGCATTGAAAAACAGATAAGTTAAGAATTTCTTTTCAGTAATAACTTTAAAAATCATAAATGGAATTTGATAGATGGCATTTTTTCATGTGAAATACAGAACTCTTGTTTAGAATTGGGTGCATGTGATTCTCATGAAGTTCAAAGCCAAGTGCAAGGTCCTGCATCAGGGTCAAGGCAATCCCAAACATCAGTATAGACTAAATGACAAATGAATTGAGATCAGCCCTGCAGAAAAGGACTTGGGAGTACTGGTGGATGGAAAACTCAACATGAGCCAGCAGTGTCCACTTGCAGTCCAGAAAGCCAATTGTATCCTGGGCTGCATCAAAAGAGCAGTGCTAGCAGGTCACCCCCCAGAGAGGAGATGATTCTCCCCCACTACTCCTCTGTTAGGAGTCCCTGCCTGAAATACTACATCCAGGTCTGGGATCCTCAGCAGAAAAGAGACGCAGACCTATTAGAGCAGTTTCAGAGGAAGGCCACTAAAATGGGGGCCGGAGCACCTTTCCTATGAAGAGAGGCTAGTAGTATTGAGATTCTTTAATCTAGAAACAGAAAGGTGTGGGGAAACATTATTGCAGCCTTCCTGAACATACAGGAGACCTACAAAAATATGAGGAGAGACTTATTGCCAGAGTGTGTAGTCATAGGACAAGAGGTAATGGTTTTAAACTAAAAGAGTAGATTTAAATTAGACATTAGAAAGGATTCTTTGCTCTGAGGATAGTTAGGATACTGAGACAGATTTCTCAGAGAGATTGTGGATACCTCCTCCCTGAAAGTGTTTAAGTTCAGGTTCAATGTGATTTTGAGTAACTTTATCTAGAGAAAGATATGGAAGGGGGATTGGAACTAGATGATCTTTAAAGACTCCTTCCAATCCAAACCATTCTATGACTCTGTGATCTGTTTTTTGTAAGCCCTTTTCAGTGCGTGTTGTATTACACAGTGAAGGGCCAGTGAATTAACCTGTGTGATCACTACATCTTGGAGTGCATGGAGAGTTTTGAATAAAAAGCACCTTCACTGTACACACAATAAGTCATTCCTGAATACAAAAACTTTTCAGCTTATAAGTACCAGATAGAGGCATCTATTTTTACTGTGCAGCAACTTTAGATGCAAAGGCATATCCTGTATTTTAGTTATCTGTTGGGAAATAGAGATGCTTTGGACATTAAAAATGTCTAAATGTATATTCCTGATTGTTACAGATTTATATACAAAAGAAAAGATGCAACTTCAAAAGTATTTCAGGTCCTTTCTCTTTTATCTAATTTATGATCACTGAAAATGCATTTCCTCCAGAAGTTGGACAAAAAAAAATTGTATGAATGGATGTCATTGAATATAAGTGAATAATCTTAACCTCAGAAGGCAGAGAGAAGCTCAGTGACTACACACATAATTAAGATTCTCTGGCTATTTGACCTATTCATATTCATTGACACTCCATCTGGAACTTCTAATACAATTTTCATACTATTGTAAAAGAATGAAATTTAGACCATTGTGTACACTTTTTTAATGTTCATCACTCACATTTCTGATATTAGGTTTGTGTGGTAATTACAATGGAGACACTACAGATGACTTCATGACTAGTATGGATATCACTGAAGGAACAGCTTCCCTATTTGTTGATTCTTGGAGGGCAGGAAATTGCCTTCCTGCTATGGAAAGAGAGACTGACCCTTGTGCTTTGAGTCAGCTGAACAGTAAGTAGATGATCCTGTTGTAACTGATCTCTGCTGCTAGCTTCATCTGCCATTTCTGTAAGTCCAAAGAGTATTGAGAGAACCACAGACTGAAACGATTGAATTGACTGAAAATTACAAATTCAGTCACCAAGATACTTCTGATTTCTAGAGTATACATCTAGTGAAAATTGATTGGATCCTATATTAGAGGTCTGGGATTGAAATGATGAATGAGAACTTTCATTGTGTTTTTCCAGTGAAACTGTAATTTCTGTGGATGTTTTAGAATGTCAGCAGTGATGCAACTGAAATCCAGCTCCCTACAGCTATCGGTATTAAAAGGTGCCCAAATGAGCTATTTGAACTACGACATTGTCTTGCAAGACATATTAAGTTGTCCTTTTACTTGATCCATCATTGCCAACATCTCAGCTAGAGTAGTGTGTCTAATTTTGCTGTTAGAAAACAAAATTACAGTTTGAGAAAAGCAGTACCAACTATAGGGAGAGAGTTCAAAGAAGGCTGGAAAGAATATCCTGTGGTCTAGAATTCGTGACCAATTGTGAAATACACTAAAAGGGAGAATTTAACTGGAAGAAAAATGAATGGAGATTTAGTAGTCCCTGGATCTGTTAAAATGGAAATAATAGTGTCCTCCACACCTCTGTTAGAAAGGATAAAATACAATCTGCAATACATTCAATTTTTCTATTAGATACATTTTGCAATTATGGATATAATACTGCTTATAATGATTTGATGGTTTAGCTTTATGATCTTGAAGGTTTTCTCCAATTAAACAATTTTATGATAATGAAGCATTCAAACAGATTGCCCGGAATGTTAAGAAATCTCTATTATTGAAGGTCTTCAGCAATAGTTAGTCAGGCGTTAGTCAGTGCTAACATAAGCATTTCTGGTATTTCTTTGGCAGGCTTATAAACTAGACAAGCCTTTGAGATCTCTTCCAAGCCTCTAATTTCACAATTGGCAGGGCAAAATCTCCTCCTCCTAACTTTCACTGCTATTTTATTTCCATGACTTTGTTTTACTTAGAAATATCTGCTGAGACTCATTGCTCCATTCTAACGAAGAAGGGTACAGTGTTTGAGAAATGCCATGCTGTGGTGAACCCTACTCCTTTCTACAAGGTAGGAAATTAAGATAGATGGAATACAGAGGAAGTGCAAAGATGGACCATACTGAGCTCATACACAGTATGCCATTCATTTGGATCAGCAATGCATAGAAGCTAAGAAACAAGCATGTTCTTTTTAAATAAACCTCCACTATAAGTCTATTTGGCCCTATGCTACCAATCCTATCCCTAGAATTCCAAGGACCATGCTCTCAGACATATCATTTGATTTTGGGGTGGTCTTATGCAGAGCCAAGAGGTGGACTCAGTGGTCCCTGTGGGTCCCTTCCAATTCAGAATTTTTTATAATTCTGAGAAAATATTTTTCTGATGCTGCAATTTTCCTTTTCAGAAATCTTAACTATGCAAAATATTGGCTTTCCCTGCTGCATAATTAAATTTATTATATTTGCCAATCTCCATGAAACATTTTGAAAATTAAAAATGGAAAGCATTGAATAAATTAAATCTTTTCAGAACTAAGCATATTTTACTCATATCTATCACGCAATTAATCCGATCATTTTCATCTGGTTTAGTTATGCAGAGCTATGTATTTTGCTTCACTTACCTCTGTTCAGCACTTACCACTGTTCAGCACATTTAGTACTTCAAATGCTTGCTCCCAGTAACAGAATAGTTCCCTTGTGTTGGGTTTCAGAGATGCGTCTACCAAGCCTGTAATTATGAAGAGACCTTTCCTTATATTTGCTCTGCTCTGGGATCATATGCACGAACATGCAGTGCAATGGGTTTAATCCTTGAGAACTGGAGAAACAGTATGGACAATTGCAGTAAGTAACTCAACCAATGCATTTCTGCTACAGATCTACCAGAAAATGTCCAGGTTTGCTTCACCTGTGACAAAAACTGAGCAAGAATAAGACAATATTTTATAACTACATTAGCCATTAGAAAATGACTACTTATTACTTGAGAAGACCAACTAGCAGGTATAAAAGCCGCATTCACATGAACTGATAGCTTTCAGAATAGTGTAAAAATATTTCTGCATAATTTCCCCCTGTATTATTTCATTCCAAGATATACAAAGAAGCAATAAGATGATATATAACCTTCAAAAACTTCCAAGCAGCCATATTAAGATCTGCTCTGAAATATTGTTTACTACAGCTCCACATCCTCAGGAAAAAAAAAAAAGCAATAGCTAGCCTTAAGTATTGAAGTTATTGACAGAATATATGCAGCACATTACTGTGAGCCAAGTTGTCTTTCACAGGGAAAAAGAAAAGGAAATGAAGTTCAGCATGCACTCTCCTCTTATTTTGCAGCCATTACTTGTACTGGCAATCAAACATTCAGCTACAACACTCAGGCATGTGAAAGGACATGCTTGTCACTCTCCAACCCAACCCTGGAATGTCACCCAACTGACATCCCAATTGAAGGCTGCCATTGTCCTAAAGGGATGTATCTGAACCACAAGAATGAATGCGTTCGTAAATCCCATTGTCCCTGTTATTTAGAAGATAGAAAGTACATCTTACCTGATCAGTCAACAATGACTGGTGGGATAACCTGGTAAGTGTATCGGTTTTAAAGATAAACAAATATGAAATGAAGAAGTGTCTTCAAGTGTCTCTGTTGTGGGCTAATCACAGTAGGAAGCTGAGCAGCACACAGCCACTCATTCACTCTTCCTCAGCAGGATGAGGGCAAAAGCAAGAAAATTCATGGGTCAATTAAAGATAGTTTAATAACTTTCTTTGTTTTTAATATGTAAAAATAAACTTACTTAATAAGCAAAGTGATGAGCACAAAGCAAAATAAGGAATTCATTTACTGCTTCTCAGCAGACAGATATTTAGCCATTTCCAGGAAAGCAGGGCTTTTTCTGATTACTTGAGAAGGTAAGTGCTATAACACCAAATGATTACCATTTTTCTTCTTTCTCTCAGATTTGTTGCTGAGCACAATGTCATGTGGTATGGAGTGGTTTTTTGGGGTCAGATGCCCCAGCTGTGGCTCCTTCCAACTTCTTATGCATCTCCAGCCAACTTGTTGGTGGGGTGGCATGAGAAGCAAACGTGGCTTTGGGATTATTCAACAATAGCCAAAACATTTGTTTATCAATGCTGTCTTGATCACAGATCCAAAATATTTCACTGTATAACTGCTATGAAGAAAATTAACTGCCTCCCAACTAAAACCAGTACAGTCTCCATTACTTTTAATAGCCAACAAATGTTTAAGATCTTTTTGCCACTTCCTAAAGTACAAAAATTCCTAAACAGAAAACATCTGACTAACCTTAAGCTTGGAAACTTCATGGAAAAAATTAGAAAATAATAGGTAAAATCTTATTATAGTTGAAGGTAGTAGGAGATTTTGCTAACCTTATCTGTACAGTTGTATACAAACACCAAGATTGCCCAACCTTCACTTTCAAAACAAGTATTTCTGTATACTACCAATGGTAAATAGAGGCAAGTTGATTCACATTCCATTTTGAAGCAAGTAACACAAATGAAGTGATGAAAAACAAGAAGTAATTTTGCTGAAAATCTAAATTTATTTCTTACGAGAGAACTGCATCAAAATTCCTTTTTTTTTTTTTTTCCTTTTTTTTTTTTCTCCAGCTACTGTGTTAATGGGAGGCTAAGTTGCACTGGCAAACTTCAAAATCCTGCAGGTATGAGTCTGATATGGCTTACTTTGAAATACATTCTTTTCCACTATAAAATTTTTACTTCAAAATTTCCCATGTTTGTTTTTGTTCCTTTCTCATAGAAAGCTGCAAAGCGCCTAAGAAATATATATCATGTTCTGACAGCTTGGAAAACAAGTATGGAGCTGCATGTGCCCCTACTTGTCAGATGCTGGCTACTGGAATCGAATGTGTAAGTTTCACAGCCCTGTGATATTAATCCTTAGGAAGAGGAAGAACTTGAGAATCTTGGGAAGAATTCAGTTTCTGCCAGTGAAATGAGAGGAGATATTTCTTCTAACATGATACAATCGATCACCAGTCTTTTTTCCGTAGTGTGGACAATAAAAAAGTACACACATTCAAAAAACGAACAAAGGAATTGAATTAAATGAATTACAAAATTAAAAATCCATTAAAGATTCTAAAATATATGATTATCACCTCTGGCTCAAGTACTCCATAAGTACTCCATAAGTTGCATAGAACATGTAGTATATGCTTTCTGTTCCATTCTTTCCAAAGTATCTGCTATTGATGATTGTGGAGTGCAGGAGACCTAAGTTAGATGGGTCTATCTCTGTAGAGTTTTCTTTTCCTTTTATACTAAGGAAACAGACTGACTGAAAGATCTGTAATGTCATAGGGTACCTTGATAGTAAAGAAGCTTATATCGTGCTTTGTTTGTCTGGAAGATGATAGACATTTCTTAGAGTCTTCGAGTATGTTTAGTATCTCACACAACAGGTATATCTTGTGACTTCAGTGAAAGTAGTTAAATTGATTAGTATGTTAGCATAAGGAAAATCATAACATTGAAATCAAATAAAGAATAGAACTGACTATAGATTCACCCTTAATGTGAGTCACACACAAAGTAAAATGCATCTTACATCCCTTTTCATTCTGTAATCTATTGATCTTTACCAGATTCCTACAAAATGTGAATCCGGCTGTGTCTGTGCTGATGGGCTATATGAAAATCTTGATGGCAGGTGTGTTCCAGCTGAGGAGTGTCCTTGTGAATATGGAGGTCTTTCATACAGAAAAGGTGAACAGATCCAAACTGAATGTGAAATCTGGTAAGAATCAAACCATTTTCCACTGCTGAACCTCAGTTTCACTAATTTGTGCAGGTATATAACAGAAGTGTTTAGCTGACAGGAAAGCAGGAAGCGGCAAAAGCTGAACAGAAGGAATGCAGTGACAAAGCACAGAGGTGGTAAAGAGAAGCTAAAACTTGCCAGTATGTTTGTATAAATGAGTCTGACAATAAATAAGTACAAACAAAAGAGTCATGATCTACTAGTCAGCTGTATGGGCTTCAGGGATATTTATGCCACCTCTGTATCCGGGGAATAAAAGCATTCATTAGGGACTTCAACTGTAAACTGCATAAGGTCAAGAACTACCAACTCCACCTAAATAAAGATGAGGGCAGTCTTCCTTCCTTTCAGTAGATAAAACAGCTTCCCAGAAAGATTACTTGCATCTCTGTAGCTGCATTCTCAGAGCACTTTGTTCAATTTCTGTTTTTTAACGTAGTATTAAAAATACCAGCACCCAAAGCATACATAACTGTGACATCTGTTCTCATCAGCAACTGAAATAAATAATGTTATATTCTTTCTTCAATGGAAAAGAAAGCAAAAGAGACTTAACATGTTTTCTTCATAATGAATTTTCTCAGTAATCCATAGTTTTTATTTATGATTCTTATATTAAATGTTACTTGGTCACAGTGTGCACCAGATTATTAAATGAATGTCATATCTATAAAACTGTATGCAAGTTAAAAGAAATAAGGTGGTATTTCTTTGGAATCTAATTATGGTTTCTCTTTTTACTCTCAGCACTTGCAGAAAAGGCAAATGGAAATGTGTTCAGAAATCAAGATGTTCCTCAACATGTAATCTTTATGGAGAAGGCCATATCACCACTTTTGATGGACAGCGTTTTGTGTTTGATGGCAACTGTGAATATATATTAGCTATGGTAATCTGCATCTTACTGATGCTTTTGGCTGTATCTTAGTATCAAGAACTACCTTGTTTTAAAAGGCTGATGGAAATATCCTGGGATGCATCTATATCCATTAAAGCACTTTGAATCTTAATAAGCACAAGAAGTGTGCTTATTTTCTACATATTTACAATTTTAAAATAAAAAGTGTTTAGTTCCCCAAATGAAATTTTTAATGCACATGCAACCAATTTTAGATTAAAAAACATTTAAAGTCATTGATGTGTACATCTTCAGTACCAGTCAACTGTGTCTTTCAGTGATGTCAGTTTGTCTCCTGAATCAGAGGTCATCACTATTACTTCCCAAAACAATGAAGTAACTGTGATTCAGTAGTAACTTTTCCACTTCTGACTACAAATATGTGGGTTCTACGAGGAACAGAATGGTTCAGCTACTAAAGCATAAAATATTCTAGGATCTGTCTATTAATAGCAAGCAGTGGATTTTAAGACATTCACAGATGGACTATCTCTCATATGAGAGTAAATAAAGATGACCTGCTGTACTGACAGGCAGAATCACAGTCATGATGCATTTGAGCTTTCTATACTTTTTCATGCTTGTAAGTTGAGAGACTTCAGACACAGAGTCTATTAAATCTTTTTGCATGTGTTTTTATTTTTTTAGGATGGCTGCAATGTTAATAGACCTCTTTCCTCTTTTAAAATTGTTACTGAGAATGTCATTTGTGGGAAATCAGGGGTTACGTGCTCTAGATCCATCAGCATTTACCTTGGGGTAAGATCTTCATTTTACTGTTACTCCACAGAATAGCCATTTAGGGCCATACTTGTTTTACTTCTAGATACTTCAGGTATGTCTTGCATGTGAAATTATGTGCTTAGCCTAGAGCTTTAGTTTTAGTAGGAAACTTTAGTAGGCATATTTTTTATCAGTTCTCATGTCAGTGTTTTAGTCCTTCAGCCTCTTGCCTATATAGAAGTCATTAAATTTTTAACTTTACCCATCCTGTCAAAAGACAGTTATTTTTTCTCCCAAACTCAAGAAAGCAGCAGAGTAAAACTGAGGAATTCTTATCATGGATGATCTACAAAACTACACCAAATTTCTCTTAGTCTGGATGGTATTTGCCAATTCAAAATATTTCCAGATCTCTACTATCCTACTATGTGACATATATCTGTGAAATTTCAGCAGTGAGCAATTAACCCTATTTCCACTGCTGTCTGACAGCTTCCAAAATTAGTTAACTTTTGCAGTTCTCAGCTATACTTGAACACTAATGCACAGTATTATCTTCTCACCTTGAAGTCTTTCATTGTAGTCAGAGAGAAGTTTACAGACAGCTGAGGTTTTACCCCAATGAACAGTCACTGCAAGTAGTACACATTTGCTATATTACTGTATAGTGACAGTTTTAGCTCATCAGGGCTGCACTTAGGATCTAGTTTCCTAAGTGCATACTCCATACAAAACTTTCTACTGATTCTCTAGACATTCAAACACTATGGTATGATGGGAGTTATGTTTTAAAGTACACATGAGGAGTAGGAGAGAGTAGAGGAGCCCAAGTGATACACTGACTTTCTCTGCAACTTTTCTGTTATTTCTAAGAATACATGAAGATAGACCTCCTCTGCTCTGCTGGATGCAGATGGGTGGCTGGCTGTAATATATGCATAAAATGTGATCAGAGTTCTAGTATGCCAAACAATGAGACTGAAACAATATATTTTTTAATATTTCCTATGAAGATTTGCATATAAATAAAAAAATTCCAAAGGAAATAAAAGCCAATCATTTTAAGATAGGATGACAACCCAAGGAAATTGCTTACCTTTTAAAATCTTCATCACTGCTGACAGTAAGTTATTCCGAAGTTTCTGGCTACTGTAAAAAATGATAAGATTGTCTATAGCAGTACAGTATCTGATCTGCAACAATGATTCATGGAAAGTCAAAAAAATACTGAAACTTGATAATTTATAATACATGCACAACTTTTCTTCCAGAACTTGACTATTATACTGCGAGATGAAACCTTCGCTATTTCTGGGAAAAATCTTCAAGTGAGGTACAATGTGAAAAAGAATGCCCTCCACCTCATGTTTGATATCATTATCCCAGGAAAATATAACATGACTCTTGTATGGAATAAGCACATGAACTTCTTCATCAAGATCTCCAGGGAAACACAGGTATTGCAGAATAACTTCTTCAGTAAACAGTACTTCAATTCACATTGACCTGCTAGTTTAATGACAGTTGTCTTCACTCTGTATGATAGCAGATGTTAGTAGCAATTCATTTTCTATTTATCATTATCTCCGAAACAGCAGATATTTTCACTAACGGCTGATTTTTATGTGATTATCCTTTGGCATTTAAGGAATTTTTTGAGCTAAGATTTTGTATTTTATGCAACAACTGCATGTTTTGGTTGAATTTGGTCTCTAGATTATGACAACTTACATTTGACAGGAGAAACACATCCACTGATGAACAGGACCTCCTGCATAATTTGCAAAGAGCATATGAGAGAGTATTTGTAGATCACAGGCACTACTAAAGCAGGAAGAAATGCCAGTAATTGAAAGGGAATGCAAGTAGTTGTAATCAACTGACAGTGCTTTCATTTTATCCAGGAAACTATCTGTGGTTTGTGTGGAAACTATAATGGCAATATGAAAGATGATTTTGAAACCCGGAGCAAGTATGTGGCATCAAATGAACTGGAATTTGTGAATTCTTGGAAAGAGAATCCTCTCTGTGGGGATGTATACTTTGTAGTGGACCCCTGTAGCAAGAACCCTTATCGTAAAGCTTGGGCAGAAAAGACATGTTCCATCATTAACAGTCAAGTCTTTTCTGCCTGTCACAATAAGGTAAGAATTAGTTAGGCCTTCTTTTTATTTATAGGTATAATCTGCATTCTCACAAAACACTCACACTCCAGCACTTGATTTTCTCTTCCCTAAAATATATTAATAAACACACACAAAATATCTCCTGGCTCTCATTCATGTTAATCTTCATTCTTTTTAATTTACACTTTACCAGTCCTTTTGTGGACAAAATCCACACATAAAAATTAACTCATTAATTAAGTACTGGAGTGAGAAAGAAGAAAGAATTCAGTATCAGAAATTAGCCACTCCGTTGAGGCTGGAAAAGATCTTCAAGGTCATCAAGTCCAACACTCAACCTAACCTTCCAAGTCCCATCACTAAACCATCTTCCTTAATGCCATGTCCACATGTCTCTTTAATACCTCCAGGGATGGCAAATTCACTACTCCTCTGGGCAGCTTGTTCCAATGTTTGACTACCCTCTCCATAAATTCTTCCTGATATCCAAGCTAATCCTCACCTGACTCAACCTGAGGCCATTTCCTCGCATCCTATCACTTCTCACTTGTAGAAGGAAATTGACACTCTCCTCACTGCAACTTTCTCCTAGGTAGTTGTAGAGAGTAATGAGGTCTACCCTCAGTCTCCTTCTCTCTAGACTAAACAACTCCAGTTCCCCGAGGCAATTTTCTTAAGTCATGTATCAATCCTCATAGTCCATGTATTGTAACTCATATATCATGAGATTTATCAGAACCAGGCTTTCTGAAGGAAAATCTGCATTTTCAGGAATTGACTACAAGTGATAAACACAGCTAATACTGCAGTGGTCATGCATAGCCATGGAAGTTGTAGAGCTGGTGAATTTTAGGCACTTCTGCCTGAATGGATGTGGGTTTTTGTGTGGGTTTTTTGTTGTTTTTTTTTTGTTTGTTTGTTTGTTTTTGTGTTGCTTTCTTTTTTAACTGATTAAATGTATGTTCAGTATGAATTTAGACATACATATCTGGAAAAACCTCATCAGCTTCTATTATTAGTTGGAAAATATCTATGTTCTTGTTAAAAAGAGTTCTTTGAAGTGGGATTGTTTTGACAAGTGTTCAGTGGAAATACTAGCTACTCTTATTTCAACGAAACGGATTCTCTTGACTTTCTCATGTACCAACAGGGACCTACAAAAGACACCTTCTGAAAAAGTAGGCACTAAAGAATTCAGAAAATTCATTACTTCATTTTCCAATACAGGTGAATCGTATGCCCTATTATGAGGCCTGTGTCCGAGACTCATGTGGTTGTGACATTGGAGGTGATTGTGAATGCATGTGTGATGCCATTGCAGTATATGCAATGGCATGTTTAGATAAAGGTATCTGCATCGACTGGAGGACTCCTGAGTTTTGCCGTAAGTTTCTTTAAGATTTCCTAAAGGCAGTTTAAGAGACAATTGTTGCTAATGAGAGTATAGTAATATAGCAACACAAGAAATTGCTTATATATGCACCTCCTGTGTTCCATTTTCTTTATGGACAAATAGGTAACTTCAGTCACTTATTGAACTCTGTACTTTTTCTTTGCGCTAAATAAACAAAATATTGTGTCTGCTTGTACCAAGGAATGATGAGAAAGAAAATGAAGTAACCACAGAAGGCATTTTATTTTTTCTGCTGTCAATGTATGATGAACAGTCAGTTTGTAAGCAGAAAAAATATGAAATTGTAAAAAACTGTTGGTTTTGGCTGTGATGAATTCATCTTCTAAGTGAATGTCAAGGGAATAAAGACAGCTGTGTTGGCTAGAACACTGTGAAACAGGAAAATATCAGTGTGTCTCAGACACCATACATAGAGGAAAAGAGAGAGTGAGGGTGTTATAAATCAGTGCTGAAGTTGTCATCTTTGATAGTTTCTTTTCAGTATCCACTGTATTATGCATTAAAATTATGGAAAATCCTGCACAGTTAACTCACAAAAAAAGAAACTGACTTACATCACTAAATTAAACTTCAATTTGCATGAGATACTGAAAATTCCAGTGACAAGTTTTTTTTACTCAAGCTGCTGATCAATTTTGTCTTCCCTTTAGTCCTTTGAAAACAACATTCTCTCTTTGAAAAATTCTGACCTTTCTCCTGGTTTTCCCATTTCCAGCTGTTTATTGTGAGTATTACAATTCTCACAGAAAAACAGGAAGTGGGGATGCTTATTCCTATGGCTCCAGTGTCAACTGCACCTGGCATTACAGGCCTTGTAATTGTCCAAATCAATACTACAAATATATGAACATTGAAGGTAATAAGCTATACTATTTCAAACCACAAAGCAATAACATAATTTTTTTCCATGGTGGTTTTTTTTTTTCTGTATCACAGTTAGTAGTGTTTTCACAGATGTTACCTTTAAAGCAGTTTTGCTTTCTTTAACTTACCTCTAATGCTTTAAATGCATAATTTATTCAGCACCTGTACTACACCTGGCTTTATATTGAACTCAGGTTATCACAAAGATAAATCCTCTGACTTGTGCTGAATTAAAACTACGTCTGGGTAAGAAAAGGTCTGAAGAGAACAGTATTATTTCTAATAGACAAATAAATATAATTGGAGAACTCTCCAAAATTTACTACATATGCAGTTTCTTCTGAGGATTACATTGGAGATGCTTACCTGAATGTATGATGTTACAATCAACACAATTTCTTAATAATAGAAATTTAAGATTTTAGATTATACATAGTATAAGCTAAACGTTGTATTCTGAGAAATGTAAAATGAATTTATCTTTCCTTTTCTTCAGGCTGTTACAACTGCTCTCACGATGAATATTTTGACTATGAAAAAGAAAAATGCATGCCATGTGGTAAGTAGAGCCCTGTATGCTCATCCTCTTTCTTTACAGTAACTAAAACCTTTGAGTGTTGACAAAGAAGATATTTTTCCTAGTTACTTCTCAATTAATGATTAGTATTCATCCCTGTATAACTTTTCTTCAAGATAATCTTTTTGTTGTACTACTAGTATGTAAAACTAGTAGACTTAGCAATTCTCTTTAAGTTCTGTAGGTTTTTAAAATTATTTAACTTAAGATTTATTACTGTACGGTGTCTTACTCTGAAAACCTTTCATAGTAAATAATGTTGTGGATGGCCTCCAGCTGCAAAATTTGGATTACCATGAAGATGTAAAATTAACAACAACAACAAAAAACCTCAATTACAGTTGTTTGTTTCATTTAACAGAATTCTTACTTGTGAAACCAGAATCTCAGCTAGTGATCTCATTTACACATAAAAAAACATTTCCATTATCCCTGGAAAGTGAAGTGCTCTTAAGCATAAAATTTATAAGAAGGACAGAAGAAACATGCTCATGTTTATCTGTATTATGAGTTGTATTAAGTTCTTCGTTATTTTTTAAGTACTTTCATGTCAAGCTTATCACTGAAATATGTAGAAACAAGCATTTCCATGATTATCACACTAATTAGCACAATCCTTTGAAAAGACTTATTTTTTCTTCCAATCTGAAATTTGCCTTATTTGGAATATTCTTAATATGCTTCCAACTAAAAATTTAACCTGTTCTACTTTTACATCATAGGAGATGAAAGTATTGGTGCTACACCAGAAACTTCTTCACCTTCAACAGGTTAGTTCGAGCAGCTGATTGAACAAGTACTTACACACTGATGTATGTCCTGATATGTGTTTCTAAGATAAGAAGTATCCTTTTTTTGCTTGATATAATGGCATCACCAGTTTTGAACATATAAGATGCAATAACAAAAAGTCAGTATCGTAATTATCACAAAAAAATTCCCAGAAATATTTTTGTACACTGAGGCATTTCCAGATATTAGTAATGAAATTTCTTTGTTAGTGAGTATGGATTTCTGTCTTCTCCCTGATACAAAAAAATCACACAAAATTTTCACTACAATTTTAAATGGTGATTGACTTCATAACACTTAGCAGTTTAGGAAGTAGTCTTGGAAGTGCATGACCAAGTACATCAAGCTCCAGTAGCCTGATCCAGGAAAGGAACATGTATTTGCTGATCTTTGCTAGAAATTACATCACTTTCATTAATGAAAATTAGAGTTATTGGGAAAAAGGTAAAGAGGTGGTTTTCTGAATAAAGCTTCTGCAAGAATTCCTATTCAACATATTTGCTGCAAATAACAATAAAGGAGTAGATCAATGAATTTTCTTAAATATTTGAAATTAAGGTAGAAGTTATTTTCAGTTGTTACTACTGGTAGTAGTTTTTTATTCTAAAAATAATTTTCAATTTATATAGGAATACTTTAACAGATTATGAAGAATTATTTCTTATCCTCTGATGTCAATCCTTTTTTCTTCTTAGTAACAGCAATGCAGCCTACAGCAACAAGAATCTCTACTGCAGTCACATTACCTACAGCTACCCAACCAACATCACCTAGTACTTCTTCTGCATCTACTGTACCAACTGAGACCACAAATCTAACTGTAACTTCAAAAATCACAGTCCCAAGAACTTCATCATCATCACCTCTTGTCACAATGAAGTCAACAACTGGTAAGTTATTGTATCACTGTCTAAAACAAATTATATCAAACACATTCTATATAGAGTTGAGCTATCATTCCACTAGGAAGGCATTGCAAGCTGTCTCAACATCCAAGCAAAAGACTGCAGATTAGAAGGTAGGTAAAGTAGGCTTCCAGAAAGCAGTTTAAACCAAAAATGTTCAGAAGTATGGATGGAAAGTGTGTGAAAAGAGAAAGGATATAGGTGACAGGTTAGAAATGCAACTCAAATAACTTGTGTGACTCATCTGAGAAGAACATTAGAAGTGAGCAGTGAGCCAGCTCAGCTGCAGTCAGTTTTATTAGTTCAGTTTCAGCCTCCATTACACAGCTGGTTCAGTAACACAGTCATGTTCAAATAGCACCCAGTCTCAAAAATCCAAATAATAACATAAGCAGGCTTCAAGGCAAAATCACAGAGGTATCAGTGCCGTGACTACTATTCTAGGACCCTGCTCTCAGCAGGCTGGCTTCTCCAGCATAAATTACTTTCCAATTATATGATTTGTGGATACTCATAATGGCATGCAGCTTTCCACCAACATGCCCTCCAACAAAAAGCCATCCTGGACCAGGCTATCAGAAGAAAACTTCACAGGACAAGAACTGGTACAAGGAAGGTCCTACAGTGTAATGTTATTTAGTTTTGTAATACTGATTGTAGAAGGCTAATTAATATAAGGTTAGCCAGTGACATTGTTATTTGGGCAAAGCCTATAGAGGCTTTTAATAAGTGACAACAAAGCTAACTTTTAGAAATATTATATGAAGACTGATTATAGGAAATCATAGGAAATAATAGAAAAAGATGTCCAAATGAGAACAAAGAAAAATATGAAGTAAGAGAAAACAAATACAGGTAGGAAAAGGTGCCGTTTAGGTTATGAGAACATAAATACAAACAATGACACGCAAAACATTAAAAAGATCCAGGGCAAAAACTATGTCTTGTGTACATGGGTAGCTTTTTCATATTTTGTCTATTTTAACTATTTTTATAGTATAAATTGATTACTCACATGATATTCCTTACCTTTACTCCAAAAGAACGTACAACATCAATTTTTACTATGCCAAGCATGACCTCAACAGTAACTACACCTTCCATAACTACCTCAGCGAAAAGAACCATCTTCACTGAACCAAAATCTACACCTACTTCCTCAGCAACCATTGCTTCAACAGAAACAGAAAAAATAAGGTTCACCACACCACTCTTAGAGACTACTGTCAAAGAAGAAACGACAACCATCTCACTACCTTATACTACTTCTCAGATTGCAGTTTTCAGCAAGCCTGAACTAACAACAGTAGGTAAGCGTAAAAAAAAAAAAAAAAAATTCATTCTTACTAGATGTGTTAAAATTGCAAATTAGTGAGAAAGGAAAATGATGACTGAAGAATTGTAATACAAATGAAAACTTCAGTGTCCTGCCAGTGCAGCAAGCATTGGACATCTGAATAAGATCTTAAAATTAACATTTCTCTCAGAGGCCTTTCTCTACCTATTCACTTCCTCCAAGGAAGTAGATAAAAGCAAAATCTCTCTGTTCTTTGAAGTGAGTTTTCAAAGACCCACAAACATACAGATGTGCATCCTCCTTAGATGTTCTCCAAAAAATATAAATCCTGTCTATCACAAAGGAAATGGCACTTTGGGATGTCAAATATGCCATATGTCAACTATGACAGCTTCTTCTATTGCTGTATACCTAGATTAGCAACTGAGACCAGAGACTGGGACAGCATGCAGGGAGAAGTCAGCTGTAGTGAGAAGGCACCTGCACTCTATCTCCCAGACCAAACATCTCTCACCCATACTGGTGGGGTGCAATATTGGCTTAGTCTGAGAAAGCATCACAACCCACTTTTATTAGGTACCTTCCCAGACATTGAGCATTACTGAATATCCATTTTTCCTTACATTGGAGAGAGTGAGGGAAATCAAGCAATCACTCTGCACCACCAAGTCTCAGTAGATGACTAAGAATGATCTGAAAGCTGTCATTGGCCTGTGACTCTGTTTCACTTACCTAGCTTTTTCTTGGGATGCCCATGCCCAACTTGTAGTGCCTTTAAGGGAGATGCACAGATCTGGAGAGGTTCTTCTTTTTCTTCCCTCAGAAGGTCCAGGAAGAGGCAGAGGGTGCTGAATTGGCCCAGTTCTTACCCCATATTTTTGTGGAGAAGCAGAAAGGGGAAGGTGAAGGCAGAAGCCTCTGGCCTGTTCTTCCCTTCTGCTCAGTAAGACCGAGTGAGATCCAGGCCTGCCTTTTGTGCCCCAGCCCATGTATTCTGCCTAGGATCTTTGCATTCCCTCCACTTTCCTTTCTTGTCCTGCCACCTTCAGTTGACCTGTGCCTTTCTCCCAGTAGCTGTAACCCACAAAAGACCAACCATGCCACACACTGTACCACATCTCATCACACAGAAGACCACCCCAGTGACACTTTCCAGCAGCATCTCTAAAATCTCTGTCTCTACAGAGGCCAGCACTGCCAGCAGTCCAGAAGTTCTGCTGACAAGGATATCTCTGAGCCCCAGCTCTTTACCTGCTACCTCAGCTGTATCTGTTTCTTCCCCCTCATCTCCATCTTCAACACGACTGAGACCATCACATCCAGGTAAGACTCCCTTTTGCCCCGATTCACGCTGCTGTCTGCTCTTTCAAGCTCCCACCCCTCTCTTCTAAGTGTCATGTTCCACAAGTTTCACTTTTGATTTTCATTTTCTATTCCTATTCCTCTTGCCATAGGACTCAAATTCAGGCAGTTACATTGCCCCTAACTACATCCTTCTCCCTTGATGCTTCAGGCATTTGACACTGGGGCATGGGGCTTTATCAGCCTACAGACTTATTTGAGTTTCTGTGAAACAACTAGCAGGTGGAGACCAGTTTACACACCCAGGCCCTCCTCTTGTAGCGGTACTGTAAGAGAGTGGGGGGAATAAAAGGCAGTGAGAGTGGAAGATTACAATTCTAGGATAGTTTTTGGTGAGAGAAAGAATATGAGTATGCTTTCCATACAAAGGATGCCTGGGCCCTGACACAGCCATGGCAAATCTGAACCAACAAATACTGCCTCCTTACTGTGCAGATAAAGAAATCAGGTGCTGATCCTGGGTGCAAAAATATCACCAGTGGAGGAGTGGGCAAGAAGATGCTCAAACTCCAGGGTACATTTCCCCCACATAGATCTATAGGACTCCACATGCCCAGGTCTTCATGGTACTGACCAGGACAGCCTCCTTTCAGAAGATGCTGCAACATGCTTTGCATAGGATTCTTCCCAAGACTCAATCATTGTTTAGTCTCATTGCTTTCTTTGTAGCAAGGGAGCTAACCAGAGCTAAGACTACAACTAGTAAAGTAGTAACAGGTGAATGCTCTGGTCAGGAGAGAGATAAGAGTCATTAATGCCTGTTCCATCAGTAGCCTCAGGAGCCCTTTCCAACACACTGCAAAACAGACATGATCCATACTCAACTAGCTTACTGGTAGTGTAAGCAGAGATACCTCTTCTCCTCTTAAAAATTCCAAGATGACCGGTCAGAAACAAACTGATGAAGGATGTCCTTCAAAATGAATAATAGCATCCCACGATGGGGGGACGGTTGGTGGAATGAGAAATTCATAACCCCGTTCATTCATTCTGATTTAAGGCAAAAGCTGTTACTGGGTCCCAATATTGCAGTTCTTATCCATACCCTCATGCATAGATTTTAACATAGAAAATATTCATGTCACTTGCCTTTAGCATGTATAGTAACGAGACCAATCAACTTCTGATTTCCAATGGTAGCCTCCAAGACAACTGTGCCACCTCTCACCACAGAGAAGACTACCCCTGTCACATCTTTCACCAGCACCTCCAAGACTTCTGTCTCCAGTGAAGCCAGCTCCACTAGCAGTCCAGAAATCCCACTGACAACAGCATCTCCTGCCCCCAGCAGCACCCTCAGCACCAGGCTGCCAACTCCTGCCCCATCTACACTCTTCTCCACCTCACCTCCATTCTCCTTGCCAAAAACAATTCATACAACGCTAAGACCCAAGCCTTCTTCCCCAATAACCAGTGCTTCAACAGAGTGGCTGATACCTGCATCCTCCACACCCTCTACAGCCAAAACCAGCCTGCTGTCATCATCATCATCTTCCCCTTACTCAACTGTGTCCTCAACAGCACTGATCACATCACATCTTGGTAAGTCTCCCCCTAGCCCTTCCCAGTTCTACTCCCTCTCACTGCCTTCCCAGTACTTCCCCTTCATTTCTGATGTACAGTATGCATCCCAGGGTTGTCATCCTTCAGGTGCTTTTCATTTTTTCGGTGCTCACTGTTTCTGGCATTGCTGCCATCAGAGAATGCCTTACGTATGTTGGAGCAGGCAGACAGTGTCCTGTGCCAGCGTCTTGAATGGACACAGACACATACACAGAGATTCCTCTTCCAGGGACTGGCAGAGGGTGCTGAGATGATAGAAGGCACCCCTGAAGCACTGTTCTTACCCCACTTTCCTGTGGGTTAAAGGGCAGGAGTCAATAGCCAATTCCTATCTCTTGTCAGCAGGGGTCAGTGCAGCAAGATCCTACCTCCCCACACACATAGCCTGGGACAAGCTTGCCTCATTTCCCTTTGTTTGTTACTCTTCAATATTCAAATGACCCATACTTGCTTTCCAGCAACCTCCACCCTCAAAAAGACAACTGTACTGCACTTGGTGCCTTATATCATAACAGAAAAGACCACACCAACTATGTCTACCAACAGCACCTCCAAGACATCCGTCTCCAGCAAAGCCAGCCCCACTGTAGCCCAGAAGTCCCACTGACATCACCTGCCCTTAGTAGCACTCTCAGCACCAGGCTGCCATCTCCTGCTCCATCTACTCTCATCTCCGCCTCTACTCCAACTTCCATGACAAAGCCCATGCCTACAACACTGAGACCCAAGCCCTCTTCCCTGACAACTAGTGCTCTAATAGTCACCTATAGCTGCATTCTCCATACCCTTCACAGCCAAAACCAGCCTGCTGCCATCATCTTTTTCTTCCCTCTTCTCAGCTGCGTCTTCCACAGCACTGAGAACATCACATCCCAGTAAGCCTCCCTCCTGCCCTTGTCATTCCTCTGCCTGCTCTTCCCAGTTTTTGCCCTTCATTTCTGATCTACACTGTACACCAATTTGTTGTTACTCTCCTTTGCCCACTGGTGAGGACATTTTTGCTTACGGTATTTGTGGTTTTGTGCTTGTTTGGATGGAGTGAGCAGCGCAGCTGAGTGAAGGCTTAGCTGCTAACAAGGGTGAAGTCACCACAGGCTGCCCTTCTCTAAGGCCCTCTCAGAATACTGTTATCAGGGATTTTGCAGAATTCAGCTGGAGCACTGGTTTCTCCCTTGGAGCATGCCATACCCAGCTTGATGCATGTAGGCAGTGCCTTCTGCCAGTGTCTTGGCTGAGACAGGCACATGCAGAGAGGCTCCTCTTCCAGTGAGATACAGAGGGTAGTGAGGTGCCAGAGGGCACCCTTAGAACACTGTCCTTGCTGCAACTTTCTGGATAGGAGGAAGATGGGAAAGGAAAGGGCAGAAGCCACTGGCCCTTCCTTGACTCTTCCTCAGTGAGAGCTGTTGTGGCATGGTCTTATTTCACTGCCCACATATATGCCTTAAGGCTTTTCTATAGGAATATATGCAGAATATATTGCCATTTTTTTCTTGCCCCCTCTCAATTGAACTATGCTTTCTTTATGCAGCATCCACTCACAAAATGACAACTGTGCCACACATTATGCCATCGATCATCACGGAGAAGACTACTCCAACTGTGTCTGCCACCAGCACCTTTAAGACGTCCATCTCCACTGAGGCTGGCCCCACTAGCAGCCCAGAAATCCCACTGACAATGACATCCTTTGTCCCCAGTAGTCTTCTCAGCACAAGGTTACCATCTGCTGTTCCATCCACACTCTTTACTTCACCTTCAACCTCTGTGCCAAAGACCGCAACTACAACCCTATGGCCCAAGCTGCCCTCTCTAACAACCAGTGCTCCAACAGAGTCACCTACACCAGCATCCTCCACACTCTCCACAGCAAAAACCAGCCTACTGCCATCATCTGCATCTTCTCCCTTCTCAACTGTATCCTCGACAGTACCGAGCACGTCTCTTCCCGGTATGTATTCCTCCTGCTCTTCAAGCTGCTGTGTTTGCTCTTCCCAGTTCTCACTCTTCATTCCTACCATTCAGCACAAACCATTTTATTGTTCCCCTCCTTTGCCCGCTGATCTTAGCACTGTCATTCCTGGGATCTGTGGTGAGTTTCTGAGTCTGTGCTGCGATTCTGGTTGGGGAGGAACTTCTTTTCTTCCTTAGAGTCCATTACGTGTGAGGGAACACCCTGCCTGTGGTGATTCGGGCAGACAGTGCCCTGTGCCAGAGAGCTTACTCTTCCAGTGAGAGAAGGAGTTAGCTGAGGTGCTGGAGGGCAGCCTTGAGGCATTGTTCTTATCTCACCTTGCTGGGGAGGAGGGAAGGAGAGGGGGAAGGGCAGGAGCCAGTGGCCAGTTCCTGCCTCTTGCCCAGCGAGTGTCATTGTAGCAAGATCCTAGTTCACTGCCCTTCTGCATAGCCCAGGGCTTCTGTATGGGAACAGTCTACTTCCTTTCTTTTCCCTTGTAATCCTTTAACCAACCAATGCTTTCTTTCCTGCAGCTTTCACCCATGAAACAACAACTGTGCTGCACATGGTGCCATTTATCATCACGGAGAGGACCACTGCCACACCTGTTATCACCAGCACCTCCAAGACTTCCATCTCCAGTGAGGCCAGCCCCACCAGCAGCCCAGAAGTCCCACTGACAACGACATTCCCTGCCCCCAGCAGTGCTCCCAGCACCAGGCTGCCATCTTCTGCCCCATCCATAGTCACCTCCTCTCCTCTGACCTCCATAATGAAGTCCACACCTACAACAATAAGGCCCAAACCTTCTTCCCCACTGACTAGTGCTCAAACAGAGTTTTCCACACCTGCTTCCTCCACACTCTCCACAGTCAAAAGCAGTCCAATGCTGTCTTTAGCATCTTCCACTTCCTCAACTGTGTCCTCCACAGCACTGAGAACATCGCATCCCAGTAAGTCTCTTGCCTGCTCTTCTCATTCCTCTGCCTGCTCTTCCCAGTTTTTGCCCTTCATTTCTGGTCTACTGTGTACACCAATTTGTTGTTACTCTCCTTTGCCCACTGATGGTGGCATTTTTGTAGGGTTTGTAGGAGGTTGTTTGCTGTTCTTCATGATATGATGGATTAAGTGGCTGACTGAATGCTTAGCAGCTAATTAGGGTGAAGTCACCACAGGCTGCCCTTCTCTAAGGCCCTCTCAGAATACTGTTATCAGGGATTTTGCAGAATTCAGCTGGAGCACTGGTTTCTCCCTTGGAGCATGCCATACCCAGCTTGATGCATGTAGGCAGTGCCCTCTGCCAGTGTCTTGGCTGAGACAGGCACATGCAGAGAGGCTCCTCTTCCAGTGAGATACAGAGGGTAGTGAGGTGCCAGAGGGCACCCTTAGAGCACTGTCCTTGCTGCAACTTTCTGGATAGGAGGAAGATGGGGAAGGAAAGGGCAGAAGCCACTGGCCCTTTCCTGCTTCTTGCTCAGTGAGAGTCAGTGCTGCATGGTTCTGCCTTCTTGTTCATGTGCCTGGCTTAGGTCCTCCACCAGGAACAGCTAGCATCGTTTCCCTTCCATTGTTACCCTTAACTGACCTGTGCTTTCTTCCTGCAGCCTCCACCCAGAAAATGACAACTGTGCCACACATTGTGCTGCCAGTCACCACAGAGAAGACTACTCTCACTGTGTCTGCCACTAGCACCACTACAACCTCTGTCTCCAGCGAGGCCAGCCCCACCAGCAGCCCAGAAGTCCCACTGACAACGACATCCCCTGCCCCCAGCAGCACTCTCAGCACAAGACTGCCATCTGCTGCTCCATCCACACTCTCCTCCACACCGAAGATCAGGCCTACAACCCTGAGGCCTGCGTCTTCCTCCATGACAACCAGTGCTCCAGCAGAGTCGCCTACACCTGCATCCTCCACACCCTCCACAGCCAAAACCAGCCTACTGTCATTGTCTCCGTCTTCCTTCTCTACTGTGTCCTCAACAGCAGTGAGCACATCATATCCCAGTAAGTCTCCCTCCTGCCCATCCCACTGCTCTGCCTGCTCTTCCCACCCCACATTCCTACCTCACAGAACAAACCACACAGTTGTCACCCTCTTTGCTGGTCTCCCTTCTTACCTGCTGCTTTTTACATTGTAACTCATGGAACATGTGTTGGAATCCCATGAACTGTCTTGATTCTTCCCATGCTCCTTGGATTGAGCTTTTCTTCCTTGGAGCCCAACTGGTGCTTTGCTTTAGCTTTTTGATCAAAAAGCACTGATATCACAGTAATGCTTTAGATCTTTTTGAAGTATGGTGGCACATCATGAACAAGTCTGTTTCTCTCTCTGGCATCTCTCTGGTCTAGGAGTGGGCAAGATGGTGAGAGTTACACAGCTTTCACAGCTGATACCAGTTGTCCAATGAGATATTCCATGCCACACAAATTCATAGTCAGCAATAAGATCAGGGTTGAGATTTTTCAGAAGAGCAGTTCCTCAAAGGCTTATATAACCTCAGTGTGCTTGGTAGGAGGTGGTGAGCAATTTCTTTGCATCACTTAGACATTAGTTTCTATTGTACATTTCTCTATTCAGTTATTCCACTTTCTATGTTTTGATACTTGAGTCTTTCCCTTCTTCTGCCATTCCAGTTCTCTCCCCCCTTTCTCACGAGGGGAACTGAGCAGGGTCCTAGAAGTCAGCCAGGATCAACATGAGCTGCAATTCTCTTTGGCCCTCTCAGCATCTTCTCCCCTCCAGGTATAGGAATTATCATGCTGAGGCACAGGTCTCACACTTGGAGCCTGCCTTGTGCATCGTGAAACAAGAAGACAGGATGATCTACCAGTGTCTTGGCTGGATAAAGGGATGTGCAGAAAGGCTCCATTTCTGGGGAAAAGCAGAGAGTGCTGAGGTGCTGGAGGGCTTCTACTTGGAACAGCTTTCTCTTACTCGTCTGGGAAGGAGCAGGATATGGAGAGAGAAAGGGCAGGAGTCACTGGCAAATTCCTGCCTCTCAACCAGCAAGAGTCAGGGCAGCACAGGCCTACCCTTATTGCCTATTTGCCTGACCTGGAATTTCTACCTGGGATCAGTGGTCCTCCTTTTCCTTCCCTGGTTACTCTTCAACTGATTCCTCTGCTTTCTTTCTAGCAACAACCCACAAAGTGACAACTGTGCTGCACATGGTGCCATATATCACCACAGAGAAGACCACTCCCACCATGTCTTCTGTCAGTACCTCCAAGATCTCCACCTCCAGTGAAGCCAGCCCCACTAGCACCCCAGAAATCCCACTGACAACAACATCCCCTGCCCCTAGCAGCACTCTCAGCACCAGACTGCCAACTCCTGCCCCATCTACACTCTTATCCACCTCGCCCTTTACCTCCACTCCAAAGCCCACACCTACAACACTGAGGCTCAAGCCCTCTTCCCTGACAACCAGTGTTCCAGCAGAGTCACCTACAACTGCATTCTCAACACTCTCCACAGCAAAAACCAGCCTGCTGCCATCATCTGTTTCTTCCCCCTTCTCAACTATATCCTCGACAGCACTAAGCACGTTACTTCCTGGTATGTATTCCTCCTGCTCTTCAAGCTGATATGTTTGCTCTTCCCAGTTTTGACTCTCCATTCTTACCATTCAGGACACACCAATTTGTTGTTCTCCTCCTTTGCCCACTGGTTTTAGCACTGTCACTCCTGGGATCTGTGGTGAGATGCTCGGACTGTGCTGTGATTCTGGTTGGGGAGGAACTTCTTTTTTTCCTTGGAGTCCATTACATATGAGAGAACACCCTGCCTGTGTTGGAGCAGGCAGACAGTGCCCTGTGCCAGTGTCTTGAATGGACATGACACATACAGAGAGTTTCCTCTTCAAGAGAGAGGAGGAGGTAGCTGCCATGCTGAAGGGTAGCCCTGATGCACTGTTCTTAACCCATCTTCCTGTGGGGGGAGGGACAGAATCGGGAGGGAAAGGACAGGAACAACTGCCACATTCCTGCCTCTTGCCCAGCTAGTCTGTGTGGCACAGTCCTACCTTATAGCCCCATATGCCTAGCTTAGGGCTTCTGCATGGGAACAGCCAGCCTCCTTTCCCTTTACTTGTTGCTTTTCAACCTTCAGCTGACTTATGCTGTCTTTCCAGCAACCTCCACCCACAAAACAACTGTGGTGCACATGGTGCCATATATCATCACGGAGATGACCACCCCCACTATGTCTTCCACCAGCACCTCCAAGACCTCCATCTCCAGTGAGGCCAGCCCCACCAGCAGCCCAGAAGTCCCACTGACAACAACATCCCCTGTCCTCAGCAGCACTCTAAGCACTAAGCTGCCTTCTGCTGCTCCGTCCACACACTCTACCTCACTCCCAACCTCCACACCAAAGCCCACATCCCTAAGGTCCAAGCCTTCTTTCCCAACAACCAGTGCTCCAACAGAGACACCTTTACCTGTCTTCTCAACACCCTCCACAGCCAAAACCAGCCCGCTGCCATCATCTGCATCTTTTCCCTTTTCAACCGTGTCTTCGACAGCACTGAGCACATTACAACCCTGTAAGTCTGCACTTAGTTCTTCCTACTGTTCTGCCTGTTCTTCCCAGTTCTTGCCTCTGTTTCCTACCTCGCAGGACAAGCCTTGCAGTGTTCACTCTCCATGTTATCACCTTCCTTACCTTCTGCATTTGTCATTTCATTTCTGGGACGTATGTTGAGGTTCTGGGAGCATGCTCTGGTTTGAGTTGGGGTGGAACTTCTTTTCCTCCTAGGAGCAGCTAGCCTGATGCTCTGCTTTGTGATCATCAGTACTGGGAGTATAGCAGTGCTTTAGCTGTTTCTGAGGCATGATTCACAGCACTGAGGCATGCTCCATATCTTATTGGCCACATGCATGTCCTGAGGTTTCTCCATGAGAACAGCTCATCTTTGCCATTTTTTTCTTGCCCTGCCACTCTCAAATTGGTTGTGCTTTCTTTATGCAGCATCCACTCACAAAATGACAACTGTGCCACACATTGTGCCTCCAGTCACCACAGAGAAGACTACTCCCACTAGTATGTTTAAGACCTCCATCTCCAGTGAGGCCAGCCCCACCAGCAGCCCAGAAATCCCACTGACGACATCCTCTGCTCCCAGTATCACTCTCAGCACTAGCTTACCATCTGCTGCTCCATCCGCACTCTTCTCCACATTGCTCCCGACTTCCATACCAAAGTCCACACCTACAACCCTATGGCCCAAGCTGTCTTTAACAACCAGTGCTCCAACAGAGTCACCTACACCAGCATCCTCCACACTCTCCACAGCAAAAACCAGCCTACTGCCATCATCTGCATCTTCTCCCTTCTCAACTGTATCCTCGACAGTACCGAGCACGTCTCTTCCCGGTATGTATTCCTCCTGCTCTTCAAGCTGCTGTGTTTGCTCTTCCCAGTTCTCACCCTTCATTCTTACCATTCAGCACAAACCATTTTATTGTTCCCCTCCTTTGCCCGCTGATCTTAGCACTGTCATTCCTGGGATCTGTGGTGAGTTTCTGAGTCTGTGCTGCGATTCTGGTTGGGGAGGAACTTCTTTTCTTCCTTGGAGGAAGGAACACCCTGCCTGTGATGGAGCGGGTAGACAGTGCTCTGTGCCAGTGTCTTAAATGGAAACAGTCACATGCAGAGTTTCCTTTTCCAGAGAGGGGTAACCTACCTCTTCCTCTTCTGGTGCTATAGGGCAGCCCTGAGGCATTGTTCTGAGCTTTCTCGGGAGGGAAAGATAAGAAATGGGAAAGGAACCAGTGACCATTTCCTGCTTTTTGACCAGCAAGAGTTAAGAGCGCGGCAAGATCCATCGGCCCCACATGCATAGCCTGAGACTTCTGTCTGGGAACAGACAACATCATTTCCCTTCCCATGTTTTCCTTCAACCAACCTATACTTTCTTTTCAGCAACCTCCACCCATGAAAAGACAACTGTACTGCATGTGGTGCCGTATATCATTACAAAGAAGACCACTGCCATGCCTGCTACCACCAGCATCTCCAAAACCTCCATCTCCAGCAAGGCCAGCCCCACCAGCAGCCCAGAAGTCTCACTGACAACAACAGTCCGTGCCCCCAGCCATGCTCCCAGCACCAGGCTGCCATCTTCTGCCCCATCCACAATCTTCTCTACTTTGCCCCCAGTGTCCATACCAGAGCCTACACTTACAACCCTCTTTCCTTCCACATTTCTCTCTTCGGAGAGTGCTACATATTCGTCCTCCACACATAACACCACATTTTCTTTTACTCCGCCTGGTGAAACATTTTCAGTAGCATTTCCTACTGCTGCCTCTGCCAAATCCTCTCCAGCTGTGATCCCAAGCCTATTACCTACCACAATTAAGTTTGCTCCCAGTATCACTACTACTGCTTCCACAGAGATCCCATCTATTGGACAGACGTCTTTTCAAACGACGACATTAACCACTACACGTACCACATCAGCTCTTTCTGTCACTTCTGGTCTTTCAACTTCCTTGTCTCCTGTTAGGCCATCAACAGTACCACAAGGTAAAGTATTTCCTTGTCATTTTCTGTATTGTATTTTAGAGTTTAGTACATTTTTTGTTTTGTGTGTGAATTTTTCTGAGATATCATATATTCTTTGCTAATCCAATTGTATACGTTGACTGTATTTTTTGGTTTTGAGCTTTCTGCATTAATATAGAACAGTTGCCTTGAAATCTTTGCTCTCACAACAGTAGGCTTCCTGCAGTGCACTGATGTTTACATGGGGAAGGGGAAGAAGGGGCGGTTATAAATGTTTTTAATGTCTTAACTGTTTTTGAGGACCCAGGAAACAAAGAACTTCTCAATTTCAGCCAATTCCTGCATTCTCTTTTGGGTTAGTTCCATACACAAAGGAGAATATATTTAGAAAGTATACTTCAACCATATCATACTGCCTTCTTTACTTTTCTATCTTATACCACTTTCACTGTCCATTTTCTTCTTAGTTTATGATGTGCAGATAGAGGAGAGTACATTAGTGTGTGTGATTGCCTCAGTATTAACTGAGCCTTGCCTTCACCAATGCTCATTTTGTCTATAACCTTTCTTCAAGCAGGGAGTTACAAAAGTTTAGCTGATATTATTATGTAAGGAAACAAAATCTTAGAAATGACCAAATCAAGAATTTTTCAAGTCCACTGTATCCATTATGTGAACCAGAAATAATTCCCTGCAGATTAGCCAGCTCATTGTTTCACTTATGTCTTTGTGGTTTCATCAGTATCAGGAATAGAGGTTTTTTAGACTTAATTTTAATTTTTAGACTCCATCATTAATATGTTTGTTGTCCTTTTTCAATGTTTGACAGAGTTTTGTAAAAAAGTGGAATATGAAGAAAACATAACTTACAAAGGCTGTTCTGCAAACATCACTTTGAGTCGATGTGAAGGACTGTGTCCATCTTCAACAAAGTAAGGATACTGGAGAACTTCTATAATATAAATACACTAAGGCTGTTTCTTTTTTAGCACCTGTGAGTAGTGATATTTGTCAGCTATCACTCCCTTTACAATTCAATGGAAAAAAATGTGTGTGATCTATACCCAGCAACATAGTGTTGGGGTACGAGCCAGCTAACTGGAAAGAGCACCTGTACAGAACAACAGTGCATAGTAGAAAACTGAAGTGCAAACAGGGAATACCTTCCCACTTAAACTTCTAAACAAAGTATGGCAATACTGCAAGGTTTGGGTTGTTGTTTTTTTTAATTATTATTATTATTAAAGATAACAGTCAGATTGCCAACTTTTCTTCCATTCACAGCTATTCTTACCTAAACATCTTTTCCACGCAAGCCCAAAAAGATTTTCTTGTTTCATCTATTATGCATTTTGCAGTGCTAATCAATGACTAAGCACCAGGTGGATGAGCTGCTTCTGCATTCCTTGCACAAGACTGTTCCAAAATCCATTCATGAACAAAACCTAAAAGGCTGTACGCAAGTCCTACCTGATTCTCCCTCTCTTCCAAACAGGTTGAATGTTGAGAACATGGTGCTCAATGCAGCATGCAGCTGTTGTAGGCCACTGCAGCTCCATAAGGAGGAATTTCAACTACCATGTGAAGATCCAGATAACCCTGGCAAAAGGCTCACTAAGGAAATTACTGTGTTTGGGGGCTGCATTTGCAACTTTGACAGCTGCATACAATAGCCAGACCTTCAGATAGCTTCAGATACAGGTGTTGTTTTGTTTGTTTGTTTAACTTCTTATTTTAATTTTGTTAAACATTAACAATTAATTACAACCTAATACTTCCATGGCAACTGCTCATTGCAGGGGGTTCTTTTGTACTGATTATACAGGTTAGCCTTGCAGGGAGCTTCCTGAACAGCTACCTGGAGCACCAATTAAATTAACTGAATGATGAATTATTCCTAATCTTGAGGGGAAGGGGTGGGGAGAAAGAGCAGGCATAGTTTAGGAGCAAAGACTGTCAGAGACCATCTAGCCTTGCTCAGGGCAATACTTACCTAGAGGCTAAACACTGGCCTGTGCACCGTGCAATAACAGAATTTTGACTTTCAAATAAAGTAGAAGGAATTGGATTTGTTAAATCATTCCTCACTGTTTGACCAATTATTTTACCTGCAAATAAGCTATTAGGTTCACTACACTTGAACTAGGACCTGTGGATTAACCCATCACTACACAAACCAGGAAAAGAGAGAACCAAGCAAGCCACTGCCCTTCCTCTGGAAGCAGGTACCTCTGTGCATCCTCTGTGTGGGACATTTCTCAAAATGTCATTAACACAGATTAAGCAGTGGCTTTTGGACAAAGAAAAAAATTGCAGGGTAATTGTCTGATACATTTTGAAGCATCAAAATAGTTATCAAACAATAAATCTAACAGGAAGAAGGTAGTTCACCCAAGCAATTTCCAATTGCTGTTAGCAGAGATATATTTTTTTTTTATTTGCAATTCGATTGAGAAAGAGTTGTATAGAATTTTAAGTGAGTTTTCGACAACCACTAAGAGCCTGAAGCAAAATACAAACAAACAAAAAGTTTGAGTGTATTTTTAACAGTTCAGGTACTTTCTTCTTTTACAGCCAAGTAACTTCTTCCAAATCCTGCCTGGGTGTAATAACAGATGTGTACTTTTGTAGCCTCCTGCTTACCCCCTTGTTCAAGCACAGTACCATGGAAAGCAGTGTATGAGACACCATCTAAATTGCTATTTATGCCTTGCAATGAAGAGAAACAAGGAAAGAGACACTGTTTTGAAATAGCTGAAATCCAGAAAACAGTTATTTCAAGTTACATTAAAGTATTGTGATGAGTTGCATCAATTTACTGTTACATGTACTGTTAGTGTTTATATGCTCAGCCACTACCAAACATACCAATGCTTAGGAAGGAAGATTCTACATCAAGTTTTCACTGTAGAGTGTTTATAACATGACCAAAAAAAACCCAACCAAACAAACAAACAAAAAAAAACAACAGAAAACCCAAACTCAGATCCACAGGCCAGTTAAGAACCAAAACAATCCACCAGAAGTTTGTAGGAAAGAATTTACCATCCCACATCAGTTGCTGTTCCAAAACATTATATTCGGAATAAAACAACCATTTTGGGCAATTATCCTTTACATTCCCACTCCCCCAGACAAAAAAGGACAGTCTGATTACCGTTCTAATCATTTATTTAATCTTAATATGTTCTTCTGATGAATATAGTCTAATATATAGTCTTCTATATGAAAATTCTCCACTTAATTTGACAGAACTTTGTTTTATACAAATAAGACAATCACCATAAATGTTACATACTGGAGTGTAGGTCAAGAATGAACAAATGCTACCTGTTTTGCTATTCAGTTATTTTCACACATCAATGCCTGAAAATACTGTACTTGAAAACAATAACACTGTTTACTGCAGAAATTACTTTGTCTGCTTGAAAGGATACATCACTTTGGTAAGTTAACCATTATTCACAAAAAAAAAAAAAAAGAAGAGAAAAAAAATCAAGTATTTACCCTTAATTTGTTCACTGTTCTGCTCATGGCTTCACTGAGCTGACATCTAATACAAAACGTGAACAATCATAAGCATAATACAGTCACCACTGAAAAGACGCTTTCCCTTTCCCCCCTCCTACCCATATTTTTAATGCACATTTTTAGCACAGCTGGAACCAAAGCTATGTGAACTAGTATAGTACAGCGTGTCTTGAGATGTCCTTTGACAAGGGCACAGAACATATCCAGATAAACAGATGTACAATAGGAATTGGGGAAAAAAATGAATGAAGCTCCTCCCTGTCTCTGCTAAGACTCCCTTAGTTCAGCACAATGGATTTTTAACGCAGTAGCCAACAACATGGTTAAGACAACAGGATTAATAAAGATCACACAGCCTCCAAAGAACAAAATACAAGGCAGTTTGGTAGTACTCTGCCAACTACCAACTTGACCGCAGGAAATGCTTACGAAGATTTCTCAAAAGATAATATCATATCTGTGATCAGAGAACCTTGATTAGATGCTTGAGAGGCCATGAAAGGGTCAACTGTTCAAGAGAACTTTTCCAGAAAAACAAGATCTATAGACTATTTTACATCCAATAAAGTCTATATTTACCAACCACTTCTGGAAAAAGCCCCACAAAACATCATAATCACACACACCATGCTCAAACCTTTGCTCCTCAGTTCTCTGGTACTCAAGTACGATCATAAGCCTTCAACCAAACCAAATTCTCATCGCCTAGTTCCGTCTTTTAACTCTAAGCACTGATAGAAAGCAAATCATAGTCACCCAAGTAGAATCCCTTCCCCTCCTGTGTGCAAAGCAGCATTCTCATTTTCATCACCATCCCTGTCACCCAAAGCCTTTATTTGGCTGTATGAGTCGTGAGACAACAGTCCTAAACTTCCTTCAAGTAAGAGAATGTTGATCTGAGGTTCACTCCTCACATCGTCAGCAGCTGACCTCTTGGTTCATCCTGACCTGTAGTACCGCTCACTGACAGCTGCCCACAGTTCCTAACCGCTACCTCACCTGCTTTGTTTTAACAGCCTTCGGTGCATTTCCAGACTTGAACAATGTGAGCCAAACTTAAGCCCACTTTGTTGTACAGAGCGTTTGCTCATGTGGAACAAGCTATAATGGTTTTGGTTGCAAAAGCCCCTGTGTAAGCTGAACACGCTCAGCCTTTCTACTCCCAATCTCAACACAAGTCTTCCACACCGTGTTGGATATTTTTACCACCAATAACAGACTGGAAACTGTAAAGATACCAGTTATTCAGCCTCTCAAGTTTTAGCACTGTACATCAGGGGGAAAATAGTTTAAAATTAAATATTTGTCTACAAAGTGCATGCCTTAGCCCTCAAGTGCCCACTTTTTCCTTCTTCTCCTTTTATACAATACCACACTAATGAGAACCCATACTCTCTGCAATCAGCTATGTCATCAGGACTGCTACTTGCTAAATCTAAAGGGTAGCAAAACAAAAGAAACAGAATATTTAAGTTTTACTAAACAAACACATACTCATTCACTACCTACCAGAGAAGCTCACCTCATTATTTGAGATAAGCAGAAGGATTAGGAATAGCTTTTGTGCTCAATCCACTTTCCAAAGATCAAAAAAACAGTTAAGATGTAAAGAATTAGAAGATTAATATTTTGTGCCTCTGGATCTGTGGCATTTCTCAAGTAGAACAAAAATTGGTGACAGTCAGCATAAGCATTCACGTAAATCAGGTTCAGACACACCTTGGAATCTGCCCTTCCCATCCAGTACAACACTTGAAGCAATGTTTAACTTTACACTGACGATATATTAACGTCTGAATTGACCCTACTGAGCATCAACACATTTTTTCTTCAGCTCAGAGCAGAGGGAGTACCTGTTAAAGGCACTAAGGCAGAATGTTACTAGCCATTTCCAGTTGAAACCCGAGGTTACTACATCAAAGTCAATTTCCCTTTAACAAGTTTAAAAGTGGGACCTCTGCAATAAAAGAAACACAAAGACAGCCCTCCCACACTTTGTGTAACATACTAAAAGCCATTTTAATGTAAAAAGTCACTTCCCTGTACTGTACATTTCACACTCACAATTTCAAACAAGGGGCAAGTCCTATTAAGGCAGGGAGCTGGTATTGGTTAACATTGCAGTACTCAGACAGTGATGTACAAGACATTTATTTGCAGTATGATGACAATGATATAAATGGAAAAACAAAAAACTGTCATGGTTAGTATTAAAACTGTTCTGACAGCAATTCACATAATCTCTGAGATACAGCTTCTTTACTTGTTCGTAGTGTGAGTCTATACATCTGAAAAAGAACACAAATATATATATTTTTAGACACAGTTTGGTTTTAAATCAATATACTGCCAACTAGTGAAAGTTAGCCAGTTACTATTTACTTGTTTTGATAGATTTTATAAGACCTCATGTTAAAACATTCAGAAGCAGGCAGCCACCTAGCAATTAAGCTCTTTCAAACCCATGTAGGGAAAGTTGCCATTGTTCTAACATTTCTAAGCTTTAATGACAAATTGATGTCCCAGATTTGGTTTCTCCTTTTAAAGGAGTAAGTGTTGTGGGAAAGTCTAAAGACTCTACTATCATTTGTTTGGATAACAGGATGCCCAAAATTTACTTTTAGTCCTCATTTGAATGTGATAAAACCTCTAGCAAAATGCTTTTACAGATATTTTTCCTCTGAACAGTTTTGCGTTCATTTGTGTATGATGGTTTTTTTTTTTAGCCGCATCATTCTTTCATTCTTCTTAAATGGCAAAGGAAGTTGTACTTAGCCTTGTCCAAGGTGCATAAAAGAATAACACTGAACATTTCCAGCCTGAAGATAATCCACAGACAGTCTGGAATAATACAGTGATGTGCACATGGAAGAGAATTCCTATGAAGCAGCAGTTTACCAAGCTAAGTCAGGACTATTGCTGCAATTTCATTTCTTCTTAAAGCTTGCAATCACAATTAGCAATTACAAGAGATATTTTCTATAAATACCTTAAGGAATTTCAGATATAGACTTGCATTTGCAATTTAGCACAGACAAGAATTTTTATTTATGCTGTAGATACAAAAAGATACCTGTGCCTGAAGGTTGGGTTCAAGGCGCAGCAAGCATCCAATCTGAGTAGTCTTTGTATGTATGATACCAGCACCAACAAAGTTAGCAGGATTGGGATCCACCTCTTCCAGTAGGGCCGATCCAAAGCCAATTATCTATGAAAGAGATTCAAAAGATTTACATGTGGGAACAGTAAAGACAAAAATACCATCATTTACCCAAGCACAGCCACCATTCATAAGTAAAGCAAGCAAGGGACTAATTTGTTTCAAGTGAAAAGACTGAAGAATTATTCAGTGCCACTGTTAGTACAACAGAAATTTTTAAAGTGATGGAGTTATGCTTGTTGTCAAGCTGCACCTGAAAAGAGTCCTTGAGGAAAATTACTGAGAAACTAATAAGATTCAAGTTAAACCTCTCCTCTTTTTGATAAAGCCATCTCTACTGTCACTAGAGTTGTTTCTGCTTTGCTTAAGACAGATAGATAGCTCTATAAAAACCACAGTGCTATGCTGTTTTATTCTCCAACTAATGACCCTAGTAAATTAAGGCCTGAAGTTTTTTCCAATTCATTTTTAAGCATTAAATTTATGCTTTCATACATAGCTTCAAGTTTCCAGCTGCTGTTGAAGACTACACTTAATTCAAACCATACTGAGAAGCAGCTCATTCAGCCCAGCCCTGCCAAGGGTCAGATACACGTGGACAGGATAATCCAATTGCCATATAAGCTAAAATGAACAATGTTTCCTTATACCACTGCAAGATACTACTCTACCACCAACCTTTGCTTTTGTGATCTCCGCATCCATTGGGTGCTTTGCTTTAAAGATGTTCTGTACTTCTTGTTTAGGACTGCAAGACAAGGCAAGATGAATATTTCTTAACATGTACTATGTACAGAATTGTTGAGCAGCAACATATTTTATTGGAGGAGCCTATAGCTCACAAGACTAAGCATGTACAAGCCACATTCACAGCATACCCTTTTACTCTCCTTGGTCTACCACAAAAGCCCCAAGCGTAAATACAGAGAAGGTCTTACTTGCTCAGTTGCTTCCAACGCTGGAAAAAGTCTTGAGAAGACATTTCTGTTGGCTGGAAAAATTTATTCAGTGTGATGGGTAATTTTACTGAAAGATTCTGGAATGTTCCACCGTACCTGCATACAGAGTAGACAGAACATGATGTGTGTAATACAAAGTGCCTGCAGTTTCTCAGCCTAAATTAACCAAGCAATCGAGGAGGAACTGTAAGATGCGATCGTCTGATCATTAAAACCCATCAACTGCAGATGATGTTATTTATAAGTTACAGACGTAACTGGATGTAACATCCAGAGATGTATGGGTTTATTTGCTCTGTTAGATGGCACATGAAAGTGAGTTGGCAGAATTTCTAGTAAGAATCTATGTTTCAACATAGTTTGCTACCCTTCCACAGATACACACACCAGTAAAAAAACAGTTAAGACTTGAATAACAGAACACAGGCCAGAAACCAGGACTGTAAACACGAATCTTTCCCAAAGGCTGATGTTGAGTTGACATAACAAGATTCTGATTTCAGCTACACGCATTTCTTATCCAAGTTTTTTTTTTGCACAAATGCTCTCAGTTTCCAGAAGGGAGAAGTTTCAACATATATTCCCCATCAAGATTTCATGAGAAAAGATGACAGCTGGCTTATATGCATAGCAGAAACAGAAGCATTTGAGACATTTTATCAGTGGTTTGTTGTTGTTTTTTTTTTTAATCAGACTGTTCCGAATGCGCTCCTTCACTCCTCTGATAGCTTCAAGTTTTGTTGTATCAAATGTTCAGGTAAATCATCTGCCCAAGATAGCTTTGGACTTTATGTGCCTGTATTTTACACGTCAGTTCGAGAGCCATGGCAACTGAAACATGCTTTCTTTTGTTAAATCAATAGCACTGAACTACTGTGGTTTTACCTGAATTGAATGTTCAGAATAGGAGCTTCCATGAAGTCTGATACACATTCAATGTTCACAACCTGCTGAACCTGTGCTCCTCCATCCACTGTGGGGTCAACAGGTTTTGTCTGAAGATTCAGGCATGAAAAGTAGCTAAGGAAACTGAGCAACAAATTGACAATATTCGCTATTTATTAAAAAGTTATGGGTAAGCTACAGGAAGAATTCACATCGTGTCCACTGGTTCTCTCCATGCTTCTGAAAATCCAAAGTGTAAAGCTAAAAATATTCTTTTCATATTGACACATCTAGAAGCAATAACTCCCATGATTCCCAGAGTTACAAGAAGATTCCTTAAGAAAAATGCCCTCAAAAAGGTTTGAAGGCACACTCTCTACAATAAAAGCCACCAAACTACGTTATTTTGATGTGAATATTGCAGTGGTGCTGAGTCAAACAACTTTAGTTACCTACACTTCCAGAAACCTTCAAGTAGCAATGCAAAGCATTAAGGAGAAACTGTAAATTAAAAGCTTAGTTTCAAGTATTGTCATCTTTGAGCACATGCACTCTTCTATTTACAGCTCATCAGAAGTCATCTGATGATGCAGGACACCACATTTATACCTCAGCAACTTCATGACAGCACAGAAAGCTAGAGTTACATGACATGCTTTCACAGAATAATACACTCAGAATAACATCCCCTTATTTCCACAGAAAAAACATCTCTGTAACCAGAGTTCTAGAAGGAGAGTCTTCCATCTCTGCTCAAGATTTTGATAAAAACTTCAGAAAGGCATCAGCAAGTACCTATTCCTTCATGTTCAAGGACAAGAAGCCTTGATCCAGCAGTTTTATTACCCTTACATGCAGCACAAAACACAAAACCTGAAGAATGGGCAACCAGGAATGCCTTTAAGGATATTTGGTTGAAGGTCATCTGAGCAGATTACTGTTGGAGTAAAATTCAAGAACTGTGTTGATGTCTTATTACCATAGAAAATGAACATACGTCCTAGAAACAAAAGAATAGAGGCATTAGCAGCTTGAGGTATATCACACAAAATCATACTGGACTATTTGTGCTTCAAGTATCTCATCCATTGACTTTTTACCATTCTTTAAATCAAATTTTTAAAATGCAGCGTACTCTGTATGGTTTATATTGCAAAGATATTCACAGAATAAAACAACAGTAGCTATCACACAAGCACTTAAATAATCAATGGAAGTCTTCCAGTTACTGGATAATGCTATTTTCTATGTTTAAAAGTTGTTATGGTATCAAAAGTGATAGAGATGGGAAGAAGTCAGGCCTAAGTCTTTACTAGATGCTTTCAGGATCCTGTACATTAATGTATTATGATAAACATACGTCTGAAATACACCGTGCATCACACTACTACAATAAGCTCCACCATAAAACAAATAATAAGTAGAATTAAAAAAAAAAAAAAATCAGGAGAATGGTCCTTTTTAACTTTGTCTGTATCAGCCTTGCAAACAGGCAGCAAGAACTGGAACTCAGTACCTCTTAGGCTCCCACTTCATCTCGGCTACCAAAACAACTGAGAAGTTTAAGAAAACAGTGACCCACACAGATGTTAGGGACACACAAACAGCAAGGATTTCTGGACAGGTTAGGCCCGAAATGACATTCCTTCTCTAACAGTAAGTCCTAACCCCAGCATCGTGCTGGCTTTGGGCTTGATTAATTCAGACAGCTACTCTGCCTGAAAACTTACCCAGGTTCTGTCGAAATTCAGACTTCAATCCAATTTGTAGCAACTGATTTTCAAAGAGGACTCCATTATTTTTACACACAAACCTAAAGGAAGAGAGAGTAAACATGTTTTAAATTAAGATACATTAAACAATTTTAGAACCACAAAATTCAGGGTTTAAACAGAGGATGAAGATTGTTGTTAACCTAGAGAGCATCAGTCTGCAAGAGAGGTCTTTGCAGAAAACTGCAGTTAAAAAAGACAAATGCGTTTTGCAAACAAAATCATCACTTGAAGAACACTAAAATAACTGAAATTTCTACTCGATAAGATGCCTGAGAAACTACAAAGAAAGCCACAATATGCTACACACACACACGCACACACACATACACACACACTATAAAGGACCAGGCAACAGGCTAGGATTTTTCTTATTCATATTCTTGACAACTTCTGAAATTCATTAGGCTGGTGCAGAATTCAAAAGTTGGTAGCTTTGACTGTTTCAACCTGAAAGAAAAAAAGAGTTTCCTTGTTTTTATCAGTTCTGTATCATGTATATGTTGACTTGGGAGTTGTATTTTTTTTTTTTTTCAGTCATTTTGAGAGAAGCACATTCTGCAGTGTTTTCAGTCCTTCTGTCTGTCACCCTTCACTTAAAGTAGAAGAGGTGGTCAGCAAACATTAGCCTTTGTCATACAAGGCACTTAAAACATACTTCCAAATATGAGTACTTTTAACAGTTTACCCTTTTTTTCCTTTTTTTCTTTGTGAATAGTTGCAAAGCTCAATACACAACTGGCATTGTCTCATTTTAGAGCAGCAGGTGATAGTACTGACTCATAAAAGCCAGCTCTAAGTTGTATATTTACTCACAAGCACGTTGTAATATACACAGCATCTACAGACGTTTTCTAGTCACAACTTTGACAGTATGCTTGTCTACTTTTGCTGGTATTATCTCAATGTACACTATATTTTTGCTTTGTAACTATATTCTTGAAGTTGCCCAGCCTTGCAAGGTTTTAGTATTGCTTACTTGTGAAAAAGCTCATCAGCATCATGCACAGTATCAGCTGGTTCCTCAGAAACTACCTCAGATGAAGCCAGGTCAGGGCTAGTTCAGGCAGCACAAAGGAAGAAAGGTGGTAGCGACAGAGACAGCAGGAGTTAGTAAAGACAGCTTAGTGCTTAGTTACTTCTTTTACCTCCTTCCTCAAAAATGGCACTGCTGAGTTTAATGCATGAAAAATTAATTAGCTGCCCTAGCTCATTACACCTAGAAAGGTTTTAGGCATTAAATGATTCCCCCCCTCCCTCTTCTCTCCCCCAGCCCACCCCTCCCTGACTGGTAGGAACCAGCAATTCCTCCTGAAGACAGGAGATGGCTGAAGGTGCTCAGGAGCTCAAGCTTATACCTCTTAACAAAATCCTTTTATGTGGTTAATTGTGACTGTAAAAAAGGTTTAGTTCAAAACCATAAATGTAGATGCATATGGCTACTGTGAGTGTGTGCTTTGAAGCAGAGACTTCATCAACATTAGTGGTATGTCTAACTACAGCTGCATCATCAATTACATCAGTTATAATGCTCACAAGTATTTAAAATGTAGGCAGGAATATATGGGCACACAGAGAATGGTTTATTCAAGTAACAGATTAGAAGCAAAAGTGACAACAGCATTAAAAAGTGGCAAGAAACTACGAAAGGCAACTTCTCAATAGCACGAGAGAAGTGTTTCATCACCTACAGACAGACAGATCAAGGGGTAGGGCAATGCTATGCTTTCTTCAGCAGAAAAAGAAAACTTTTCAGGAAATTTCTGTTTATGAAGCTATTTCTCATGTAAAAAAAACAAAACCACATTTTAGAAAAAGCTCTAACAAGCTTGTGTTTCTTCTTCAGATACTGTGTAGCGTTACTAAACATCACTTATTGCCTTCAAAGGGAAATACAGGACCAAGTCTTATTTGCTGAAAACCTGCAACGGTATATTGCCTAGTATAAAATTCTGATGAAATTCTCAACGCTCCAGGCAGATTAGTTTCAATAATTATAGATTTCATATTAAGATACATTGCAAATCTGTCATCACATTGTTCAAAATTTGGTCCAAGACAATTGTAACCTGTTCTCTGGGCAAAGAATGATAGATTTTTAAGGTATACTGTGATCTCATAATATTTATAGCCAAATAACATTTGAGCATAGGCACAGTGTCTACTAATATTAAAGGACTTAGTAATACATTCTGCCTGACACAGACTACAACTACAGTTGGCAGTGTAGTTAGGAAGACACTTGTATCAAATCCCCTCGACAAATAAGAGCTTGTTTTTCTTTTTTTTTTTTACACCTGTTTGTCAGACAGTGGCACAACAATTTAAGTATATCTTGAAATTCTGAGAACCAGTATCTCCAGATATAAACCAACTCATGGTTTCAGTATCAGTTTGCCATAAGTATGTAGATGCAAGGATACTTTATGGAAACATGACAAACCTAAACTGATACACATCAGGCCAGATATCGCCCAAGTTCAAGATATATCGTTAAGATACACAGGCAGCTTAGTTTAACAAAGAAGCAAAATCAGCATGAAAGCTAAAGACAAGACTGTGGCTAACGTTCTCAGGTTGATTACTACAGACTCAGTTTCCCATGAGCAGAGGTATTCGATAAAGATAGCATATCCAGCACAAAGTTCAAGAATACCTCTCTTGATGCACAACTACTACCAGGAATGCATCCAATAAACTGGAACAAAACCGGAAGTTATTTATTGTTTGTATTCTTTTATCTAATCCTGCTTTAGTTTAGTAGACAAATGCTTTACCAGATGCCTTAGAGGATGACTTAATTACCTTGCAAAGTTGTCATCAGAACCAGGAGCAAGAGGTGCAACAGCAGAAGCTGAATCTGAAAATACATCCACCAGCAGGCTACCACTAGAGGAAGGTGGGGGAGCTGAATTGGTGAGAGGGGCTGCACCCAGACCCAGCAGATCCGCAGATGGAGAAGGAGTAGACTAGGGAAGACAAGATACGTGGAGATCAGATCTTAAAATATATAAATTTGCTCAAATAGAACAAATCCAGTGACCAGGAGACAGAATCATGCACCGTTAATAAAATAAGGGCTTCATACGTGCACAAGTCATGTGCAAGAGCAAAGCAGAGACTGAATGTTAAATAAAGTGTTCATGCATTAGATATTAGCACCCTACATTATGCCAGATAAGCTGAGGATGCGAGTCATGAGACAACAAAATTACAGACCTAATTCAGATACAAGCCAACTCAAAATTTTCATACACTCCAAAGACTGACTTTGATGCAGGAAAAAAGAAAAATCCCTGGCTAATTTTTTTCAGAAATCAATCAGTAACAAATCATCAAAACAACGAGATGAACCCCGAGTTCATCTTCAGGCATCCAAGCTAAGTTGACATCCCAACTGGTGATGAAGGTAACTTAGCAGACTTTCTTACACAGCTGCAATTCAAAGTAAAGCTCATAAGGCAGAATTTTAAATACCAGATACATCAGCCAATTTGGCACATAAAGAATGTTTGGCATCTCTTCTGCAGGAAAAATATATCTGTCCATTTAAACATAACTCATCTGGAATGTATACTCTTATATACTGTAAGAGTTAAAGGAGTAAGTTGTAAGGCAGGGAGCATGCTAAAATGCTACTGCATTTCACTATATTTACAAGCATAACCTGTAAACTAGAACAGCAACAAGTATTATGTCATGGGAATCATTCATTTGACCAACCTTAAATGACATTACAATGAGGTGGTTCAGCACAGAAAAAAAATGAAGACTCATGTACCGTAACTGAACAGAAACAGTACCATCAAATAAACAGCAATTATTCATATAAGGACATCCTAGCCAAATATAGTCCACTACTAGTAAAAACAACAGTAACCCAAAACAAGATGCAGAAGTAGGCATGTTAGACAATGTAGAAGAACAGCTGACACTTGAGAAGGAGCAACTTCAATTTCAAACACCTACATCACGCCCTCATCAGCTTCATCACCAAGGAAATTTTTATTTCTAAGATTATAGCAGTATTTCTCAAAATACCAACAAAAGAGGGACAACTGTATAGCAAACATTCATAGTCTGAAATTTGAGACAAGAAGCTTTAAGCCCCTAAAAAGCCAAGGAAACCAGTCCTTCCTCACCTGCACACCCTCTGAGTTAGTGAAGTAAGAACAGATTTTAAACTCACAACAGCACTGGCATTGACAGATGCAGGTTCAGCACTTCCATTCATATCAGAGCTCCTCTCCTTTTTGATCTCTTCCAGGTCAGTAACTGTGCCTGGACCTTTCTTCTTCTTGAGTTTAGCCAAAATAGAAGATTCCCTCTCTGGAAAGGGAGGCATTTCCTCTAGCACAGTAGCCTTAACACGGGGGAAAAAAAAAAAGAAAGTATATTAATTATATTTACAGAATAAGCCAAATCAACTTTCCAGTCTTTGACATTCAGGCAAAAGAAGAAACAATTACCTATGCAGAAAATGACTGTGTATGTAAGGTTGGTATACAATGGTAGACAAGACTTCCTTTAAAAAAAAATTTTTTTTTAATTTTCTCAAGTCCTCCCAGAGCTGTTGCTTAGAAGAAAAGGAGCGTATTACCTGTTTGATAAAGTACATTTAAAAATAAACAAATGAAGAGGGAAGGAGGAGACCATAGCAAACCTACATCAAGACCTGAACCCACAGATTACCCAAGGATGTAGTCAGACCTAGATAGAATCACAGAATGGCCAGGGTTGGAAGGGACATCAAGGATCATAAATCTCCAACCCCCCTGCCACATGCATGGCCAAATTAGCTGTCTAGGCTGAGAGCACCATGCTCTGGACTGAGTGCATCAGATTACAGCACCTGGAATTTCTAGAGACAAAAGTTTTCTGCCCACCAGCAAACAAGTAGATTTCACAGATCTTCTCAAATAATCTGAAACTGTTTAACACCAGCATCAAAAAAACCTGTAAGGATTAAGCGAGTACTTTCTTTTCTATTTGATTTATGCATTGCCTTCATCAAGTGTTCTTTAGGATACGCTGCTTTCCTTCACTCACACTCAGAGATGACATTAATTTCTCAATAATTGCAAAGCTGAAGGACATGACGACAACCAGATCGTTGTGTGGAGGAACGGAAGAAATCAGTTCGAGAGTTTGAGGACTTGATCCAATAAATATATCTTTGAACTGCTTACCAAACCTCTGAAAACCTAGAATATCTTCATTAAGATACAAACAGTCATTTTCCTTACCAAAGAAGTAACACCTTTGATATTAGTTTTAGGTTAAAGAAGGCCGAGCTGAATTATGTACACTAAGAAGAACCAGCATCCATTTTACAGATCTTTAATTCCACATTAAGATTTAGCGATCAGCTAAGATTTAGTCAAGTTTACTTATTGAGAGAAGAAATGGCTAAAGAGTTCTGCGTAATAAAAAGGGTTCTGTACCTACCAATATATCAGTACTGGCAATAGTACTGAGCCTCAAATACTCAACAGCTCTCTGCTGCAGCTCAACATCAGCATTCTTTAGCTGACTGTCACTGCGCAATACATCTTGAATTGTAGTTTTGATTTCTGGAAACAGGTTCACAAACTTGATGTAGGTGGACAGAAGCAGAGCTCGGGTAGGAACACTACACAGATGGAACTTGGAATGTAGCAAGTTGAACTGGATGAGGGGACTAGAAAGAGCAGAAGAAAAATAATTAGTTCAGATTCTGTTGACGTGATAACCACAATGGCATTACTATCAAAAGCTGAATCATTTGTTAACTGACTTTTAGGAATATTAAATAGATGATTTTTTTTTTTTTTTTTTAAGTACTTCAATGAAATTAAAAGGTGTTTTACCTTGATCTTGGATCACCTGCTATCAGATTACCAAACTCTCCCAAGATGTAGCCACCTACTTTCACAAGATTCTCGTGGCATGCTGGAGCTTGAAGGGCCTATAGGAACACAGTATTAGTCATTGATCTGTACTGTATTAAAAATACATAATTTTTTTTCCCCTTTTCCCATTTTTTTCCATTTTTTCCCTGTCTTTCCCTTGTTTAGTTTCCAAGGCTACTTCTGTATATTAGCAGGTAATGGTTGTGTACTTCCAGAAGGATCACCAAGTTACTACTCAGTTTGGATTCCAGCATTCAGAAAACTCAGGGGAAAAAAAAACAGTATAAAAGGCTTCTATTTTTACTACATTTCAGAAAATTTCCAGGTAACATAATTTCCTTATTAATCCATCCAATTATTCTCACCTCAAAAACAGTCTTTGCTGCGTAGCCTTGGACATCATCCCTGTTGATAACAATCTGAATAACTCGGTACCACACTTCTTCACTGACGTAGTCACCGGCAATACGAATCAGATTCAAGATTGTGTCCACATACCAGGTATAATCCACTGCATACTTCTCTGCTAGAATTGCAACTTTCAGAACCTCAACACATGAAAAAACCAAGAAGGTTGACTAGCTTCTGCTATAACCTCTATACCAGGATTTACTTTATATACTTTCAGTGATATCACACATTAGCACAGAAGCCTCAGTTTCAGTTTCAGCCCACATGCTCCCATGGCAAAGGCAAAAGATGAACACAGATTTTGTGCCAGAACAAACAGCTGCCAGGTAAGTAAATACTTTCCTTGCAATGCATTTGAATGTGTTGCATCTGTGGCTCTCTGTTTTGAATACTTTGCTATAAAATCACCAATTAAGCCATCATAGAGACAGCACTGATGAAAAACTCAAAAGTTATTGAAAAAAGTTAAAAAAAAAAGATCATTTCAAGAAAATTTAGTGCTTATCTAAACAAAATAATTACCACAAGAATAGATTTTGGCTATCATTTCATAAATGCTACTAAGTGGGTGTAACACCTTTTGCAAATTTTCCCCCACTGGGAGAAAGGAAATAGGCATCACACCACCTTTTAGCTGATCATAAGCCATCGTTTTGGGGAATCTTTAGACTGAAACAGAGTCCTTATAACATACACAGTATGAAATTCTATCCACAAGTAAGTAAACATCACAGTAGTTCTTTAAGCTACTCATCAGTTGACTTGAGAGGGACATAACTCTAACAACTGGGGACTGTGTCTGCTCAAACATCAACACTTCACCTTCTACATGCAATGCCTTGAAATTAAGATTACGTTTTAAAATTCCTTATTTTCAAGTGCTTTTCTCTCCTGTCCTCCATTAGTTTAACTGAAATGAAGAACATTCTTTGCTATTAGACTAACAGCCCTCCAGTTGGTTTCTAAAACCACAGCCAAAGAATTTCTACCACAAATAGCATCCCAATCAATAGGCAATACCAAAGTCAGACACGAAAAATTAAGGAACTAAAAATATCTCACAATTTCTTCTCTAATGGAATAGTCAGCAGTCTCCAAGTAATTCAGCATTTCAGCCACAATCTGTTGGGCATTGCTGCGGTCGCACATTGCATACAGGAGATCCACAGCTCTTTGCCGTACGCTCACATCTCTTTCAGTCTGCAAAAGGACACACAGCAAAAGGTCAAAATAATTTCACCTTTGTTGGGAAAAGATGCAACTTAATGAAGAGATGAGACATTATAACTCAAGGTCAAATTTTCAAAGTTTTTCACATGCACAATGAACTTATTCTGTGAATGAGTTTGCAGTCTTTTCTGCGCTAGATAATTAGTACCAATGGTCACAGACAAACTAATAACTGGCTGAAATTGCCAAACTGTCACCAGGCCAATGGGCAGTCAACGTCTTGCAGTTTTAATGTCAAGCCTGCCTCAAATCAATAGAAGCTCAGCTAGAACAGACCTGTATTTTCAGGTGGGACAAATGTATTAATATGCTACAGTATGAGCTTGGAAGAAAACATTATATCTATACACTGAATTGTGAAAGTAAATGTACATGCAAATTAGGCTTCCTGTTGACCTCTGCTTTCTCACATAAACATGACCTGAAAATTCATCTTTCTGGTTTCTTGACCATTGGAAAATGGCCCATGCTCCACTGGAAACTAATCTACTTCAATGCTCTCCATCAGCTACTACAGTGAAGGTAAAATATGTGATACAAGTAAGACAGTAACAGGACAACGTCTTCCTCAACATTCTCCATTTCGAATTTCAAGTTTCACCTTCACTCTACAGATTGAGGAGGATACTGTTACAGGGGCCACAGCTACAAGTATCAGATTCACTATTAAGCTGAAGAAATAAACTAAAGCTGACCTCTGTTATTGCCAGCACAGCATGATCAAGGAAAATTACTCTTTTTATTCCCAAGTATTACTAGCCTAACCAGGGATAAGGGGCTCTGGGGGTGAGAGGGGGAGAAAGCAGTGAAGAAAGGGACATGAGGGGTAGGAGGAGAGACTGAAAACCGACCGTATACTTAATATTTACCTTTAGTGCATTGATAACAGTTTCTATGTGTGTTTTCACAGCCTCATGTGAGAATTCAGAGCTGGCAAGCGTGCACATGCTTTCCAGTGCTAGGTAACGCAAATTAGTTTCTCGGTGCTGCAAGAACTGACCTAGCTGGTTACAGGCACGGACTAGTAGATTTGGCTCACTGCACAGAACAGGAGAGAAAGTGAAAGGGTTAAAAGCAACAGATTTGAGAACATCAAATACAGAATACTATTTCTGCAGTGCAAATTTCTTAGTGCCTCAGAAGGTGTCTGCTAGAATGTCCTGCTGGTGAAATGAAAATTCAGATACTGAGAACAAATCATATCTAATGGATTAAAGCAGTGATCTCAACACAAAACACTCGCCCCTAAAAAAGCAAGAAAAGCCATAATAAACTATTCTGTCAGTGACACAGTTCATTAACTTCCAAACCAATTGCAGTGGTTGCGCTCCAACCTAGCAAGCAACTTCTTATTCTGCTTTTCCCCATCTAATAAAAATTTGTTCAGTGTTCAAAAGCCATGATTTTTCTTTTAGAGAAGTCATACTGCAATAAAACTGTTTTCACAGCTCACCTGTCGTGATGTATAATTAAACTTATCGCCTCAAATAGCACAGCATTCTTCGCATTTGAGTGTTGTACTTTCTTTGACTTTGGTGGCTCCTGTGCTTTGTTAAGAATAGTTTCTAGGCATTCTGTGAGACGACCACGTACCGCAGGGTCTTCTGGAGAAGAACAAGCCGTTGGACAACTTCATTTTGCTCAACACCCTAACCTTTACCTAAGGCCTTCCACCTTGCTAAATCCAGGGATTAAACCGAAGTATTCTGACACATTAAACAGTTCACCCACGCCCCCTTCAACCACAGTGTACAGACATCAAAAATTCCAAGCAATATCTATTAAGCAAGAGTAAAAGCCAAACATCATTGGCACTGTCACATATTTCAAGGCTTTAATATCCTTGAAAGCATTGAAGTATGTTTAAAATGGCTACTGCATGCTGCATACTGGTTTGACGCTTCACAACTAAACACAACATAGTTCAACAAAACAATGTAGCTTACAGGTATCTGAAAAACTCAGAAGTATGGGCTTCAGTATCCTTGTCTTAAGACACAGTGCTTATACTCCAACTTAATGGCCGCACTACAGAGCAGTAGCTTTTTGAATGTAACAAACTGCATAAGCTATGGCCACTGTTGTGATTTGTGCATTACCTGGAGGTGGATAGCACTGTAAAAGCCTCAGAAGTTTCACAGATAACCAAGGAGCAGGAACAAAATAGTACGTATAGTCCTGAAGATCTGTTGATGCGGAAGTTACAATCTGTAAAATAAGCAGACATCACTTCAGCTACTTAAGTTAAGTGATTTGCAATCATGATAAGCAGCTAAAGAACACCATAGGTCACTTTTGACAGAGGCTTACAAAATTATGACATGAAAAATGATTAATTAAGTAGCTTAACTCTGTGCAAACTGTCATACTACCAAGTACAACATCAGGATCTCTAATACAAGAAATTCAGCTTTGCTAATAAAGTATTCCATTGGAGTTCCTTCCTGAAAGCATACTTGCTTGTCTTAAGAATGAAGATGATCATCTCATAGCACCAAGATGTTTAGCTAGAAGCTTGACTTTCCTTGGTTCAGCATTTCATATATTTAGGCTTCCTATTGGCTGATTCCAGTATTATAATTGACTGATCACTGGTAGGCAAACCAAATAGAAATCAAACAGAAGATGCTACTGCAAACTGAACTATTACCTTCATTACTATTCATACTGCACAGCAAAGAATGGATTGCTTTCACTGAAAAGGTTTTATGGATAGAGAGTGTGACAAGAATTAGATTAGACTTCAGAGGGAGAACCCTTCTTCGTGGATTTATTTTTCCCCTTTAATTCTAGGGTTAACACACGTCTCACATTAGCCTTGTTCAAGGAAATTCTAACCCTTGCTGCTCCATTACAGAACAGCTATGCACTTCCTTTGCTTTTAAGTATTAGACAGATTCTTCAGATTTGAAGAGAAATTAAGTCTCTCTGAACAGCAAGTAATTTATTTTGCATCTAAGACTGCGCATAAATTGAAACTCAATGCAGAGCTGTGAAGTAATATTCTCAGCAAGCTTTCTAAGAGACTGCAGCAAAATAAAACAGTAATGTACGTTTTCCAGCATGAAGATGCTAACCTGGAAACTTTGCAGAATCCATACAGAAATGTCTCTGCTTCTCTCCCTGAACTTCTTGCCCCTGCTTAATCCCCTACATCCCATATACAGAATATCTAGTACTTATGAATATTAGCCTAGTGGCAGCACAAAAGCAGGAACAGAAAGACAACCCATCCTGTAAGAAGCTTAAATGTAGTTAGAAGCATAGGCTATAATTTTTGAGAGTTCTGTGCAGAAATTTGTAGAATCTTTTCTTCAAGTACTGCCTGGTGTTATGGCAACATAAAAAGATTATTTAAAAAACTCAGCTACATCCTGGGGATCCCTGAGAATACATGTAGCTGAGGGAGAATGTTTTGCTAAATACATTTGCAGTGTAGCAAGAATTATACAAACAAAAAGTTTGGGAAGTAAAGCTTTCTGTCCAGCTAAGCAAGAAATGTTAAAACGTTGTCTGAACTACCTGTACAACCAAAATTGAATAATACTTAGTCTTAATGGTATACTAAATAAATCTGACCTAGAAAGATAAACAAATAAGCAACATTAAAATAATCTGACCTAGAAAGCAGAATAAATTAGGCAACCATAGATTGTTTTCAGAGTTATCACTGGACTCACTCTGCTTAATCTTGACACTGCCAAAGAGACAGAAGTTTTGAACTCCTCTGGGTTCTTCTGTGCCAAAGTTGTAATCAGACTTGTAGCTGCAGTAACCACACCCTAGAAAGAAAAACAAAACCGCATAACCTTAATAACAATTTAGGATACTGTTTGTTAACACTACATTTCACTGGCAGTAATTTTTAATATAAAAGAAAACTGAGTTAATCCCCACGACAAAGACTCATATTAAAAAGCCATTTATTTTCCAGACACGTAGACAAATTACATGTCTTTAAAACTGGGTAGGATTTTCAATGTGATACTATCATGCCTGCAGAGCATTTCATGTTGTTTTTGTATGAGCTTTGTCTCACATTTGGATAGTACATATAAAATGCATTCAGAGAGCTGCACTAAAATAAAGCCTGGATGCAAACTATCTTCTTAAACAAGAGAAGCGTGAGTAAAACTAGGATGCAACAGATGATCCAGAAAGGCATTCTGGCAACTGAATGCAAAGAGCGGCCTTTGTATAATACAAACATTTTATATTGCTGAAGACTTAAGTGTTCCCATTACAATCAAAACAAAGGTCTAAATAGACTTTTTTCCTAAAGTAATCAGACAAAAAAATAGTCTGTTCTCTAGAATAACAGGTTTTTCTTTTTTAACCAGCAGGATAATGACAAGAACCAGCAAGAATGACAACATGGATAGCACAGGACGGTGAAGTCCAGGCACTGTTACATCAGGCTCGCGTTTTTAATATCTGTTTAATCCTAAGAAAATCAGTGTTACATCTATACATCAGACTCAGGATCATAAGGCTCACAATTTACAGTCAGAGCAAACAAAGAACTTGTGCATACCATTCCTTTTACGTGCCAAGAATATTAAAGGCAAGTACAGTTTTAATAAAAATTAAAATATACAGCAATTCGTGAAAGAATTTTTTCTTCCATCTCTTTACCCTTGTCTTAAAACAACAACCCACCTGGTGGAAAAACTCTAGAGAAATAAATTCATACACAGAGTAGGCCAGAGAAGAATAACTAAGCTGATTTACCAAGTGCTGGTCATTGAGGAGATGTACCACTCTGGACGTCCAGTCTCCCATAGGGACAAGGTCAGGAGAAGTCCTATACAAACGCAGCAGGCATAAGGCAGCGCTCTGCTTCACACTATCCATAGTATCTCTGCAAGATAGAACCATGGTATTTTAAACCCACTGTAAACTCACAGCAATACCCACAGGCTAGCATTATGCTAAACTTTACACAGGCTCAGCAGTATCTGTGAGATAGTATATTTTCAACAGAAGTGTGCTAAATAGGTTCTTCCTGAGTAACAGTATTTGTTCCAAAATTCATCCAATAAGTTTAACTTGTCAAGGGCTCATCCATTACACGTCTAGTAGCTCCTGTAATGATTCTGTTACTTAAGGAGACATCTCACAACCTTTTATCAGAGCTGAAGGTCCATCATCAGAACTCCTGATGAGTCCAGAACTCCTCACTGAGTCAAGATCTCACTAAATGTCAAGAACAGAAGCTTCTCTCAAACAGACTCAAATCAAACAGTTCAGGTCCATTACATTACACATGTGAACTAAGCTGGATCTCCTGACAGGTACTGCATATCAGAGATGAATCATTATCTACTCAACACTCAACAGCTTCATTATCAACAGGCAGCATGTAAATTGACTGCTGTCACCAAACGTGCAACCCACAAGTCTATTCACCTTAGCATCCACAATGCTGGCAGGGGAACTGACTACTTTAGTGCATTGTACTATTCTAGTTCAGGGAGCTTCCTCTCATGGAATAGCGAATTTAGCTCTGCAGAACATTAATGTTATTCAAACGTGGTATTATAAAAACAAACTCAAGAGTTCAAAAGCGTTTTACATGAATACTTCCACAACTAGACATCACTTACTGCATCCTTCTACAGCAAAATAGACTTTGCACATTATTTTAAGCTTCCAAAAGAAATAAAAAAGAAGTCTAGCAATCTCAAACTCTCTAATAAATTTAGTTAACTACAGTTTAGAAATTTACCAGGTCTGGTCAGAGATTTCTTAGCAATAAGAAATGAAATTCAGAGTGGCTATGGCTATTTCTTGGTTACAGGAACAGCTATTCACAAGGCCATCAGATGAGGCATGAACACTCGCTCTACAGAATATTAGCACACTCCTTATGAAGTCAGGACTATTTAAAAAAGCTTTAATAAGCAAATTTGTAGTTTAAGCCCCTACTTATTTTCATTTATTTCTCTTCTTTTCATCAAAAAGGGCAAGGGAGGTAAAACAGACATTTCAGTGTTCATTAGCATGCATTTATAAAGAACAAAAACTTGATCAGTACACAAAGCTATAAAAATCTATTCAAGATGTTGACAGTCTTAATTTCTCATGTAGTATCTGTACTCTTATACAAGCAACTCCACCCTTGGCTTTACCAGAATGTTTGCATCTATGGGAGACCGTTTATACTGCAAGCACAGGGCTGTGCAGCTCAAAGCATGGATTCAGCTGCTCCTGTTGAACCAAGTCACTGAAAAGTTTATCAGTATTGCACCTGAAGGAGGTGTGTCATACCTACCCAGCTACAAGGATTTTTGGAATTTCTCCAGCAAATGCTTCCGCCATCTCGCGGCTACCCACGTTGGCAATGCAGTGCAGAGCCAGACCCATGAAGGTGGGGTTGCGGCTGGCCAGGTCGTTCTTGATCGCGTTGTTTATTAGGCGGATCAGCTCACTGTTAGAGTTCACCAGGACGGAGATGAAGAGATAGCCCTGCGTTTCAGAAGAAGGATAAGGAGAATTTATTTTAGCTGGCATGGTATGTTTTCTGCTAATGCCACAAGCAATACTTCGAGACACACAGTGTCTCCAGTATCAAATGTGTGGGCAGAAACATAATTAGACACTAGAGTGAAAGCTAGAAAGATGAAATGCAGATCAAGTAGTCTGATATCTCCCTTATTTATCAGAAAGCTCAAGGTCTGCAGATCAATCTGTTTCAGCATGTAATCAAAAGTTCATTCTGAGTGAGTGGGATAATATTTGAATGAGAAGCAAAAGAAGAATCTGGCTTATTGCTTAGGCACTAGTACTTAACAGGTACTTGATAAATATGGCATTATCTAAGAAAATATGAAGAGATTACAAAAATTAAGTTACTTGCCTATTCTGTTTCATGTATAAATGGTTAACCACTACACAGCACTCAAAGTGAAACTCGTGCTTGCATTATAGTTTGTTAGCAGGAGCTAACATTTCTCAGAAGTCCCTGTCTCTATCTAAATGCAAGACTCAAGGCAGTGACCAAACAAAAACAGCATTGTTGCACAGAGTACACATTTTAGCCATTATAATTTGTGGAATTTTCTTAAATACTACTGCAACACCTCCCGAGTCACTTACTAGTACAAAATACAAGATCTTTGGTGCACAAAGGTATTTTCATTTTAGAATCACTGCTAAATCCCAAACAAGGCTTTCATTTGAGGGAGGGAGAAATACTTACAGATTAAATAGCTAAGGCAAGATATTAGACAGAATGCTTTCTCTTTTACAGAAATGTTCTTACTCACAATTTGTTTTTCTGTGTATCTATTGGAACTGAGCAGGTTTACAGCCTCCATATGACCAAAGTCAATGTCATGCCCCAGGAGAAAGATGAAAAGCAGCTTGCAGACATATTTTTTCTTACTGTAACCATCCAGAGCCTTGTCACCTGGAAAGAAGGGAAATGAAAAGTAATTAAGCCTATATTGTTTCTATATCAGCTTTTCTTCCTCCCCAGGAAGTTCCATACAAGTATCATTTAAGTACTATACTTAATACCACACTTAAATTTAGTAACAAGACATAATTGTACCTAGTAATGAAGACTGACATTTGATTTACCATGAATTACCATATAAAATAGAAAAACTGAGCATTCAGTTATTAGTCAGGTGATGGCAGTTTTTGCACCCTTAGCCTTAGCATTCTGTTAACAATAAATGAAAACTTACCAGGCTGCTGAGTTTTATAATCTCAGAAGTATTGTCTCATGTGCAAGTATAAGCTAGATGTAAATTACTGAATATTTTTATAGTTTCAGTTGAAAGGTAAGTAATTAATTTAAATTATTATTTGAGCTTTTTTTTCACTCTACGGTCAATAAAATGCGTAAAATACACTTAACTCTGATCTAAACATGACTAAAAATCATTTTGTGCTAAAAATATGAAAGTTATCACCAACAGTCATCAACACATCCGAAAATTTGAGTAAAACATCATTTGGACTTCAAAAAGAAATGAAAAGAGAGTTACAGAATAGTCACAAAACACAGGTAGCTTGTATCTCTTCCTAATGGAAGAAAAATGCAGAAACTCAATAAATTGAGTAGTCACTGAATCAAAGCATTTACATATAAGATTTAAATATTTACTGAAATCTGAAATTCATATAAAGGAAAAGAAAAAACCAACTCTGAAGACTTCAGCATTAATTCCATTTGCCATCATCCATATCTTAAAGTACAGCCACAAAATAATGCTGTCAGCTAGTCTTTGAATTCTCCTGCTATGCCATTGGAATGTCTTCTTATTAAGAGTGTTTATAAAATGAAAGCACTCTCAAGTGCTTCTTTTTTAGAAACAAAATACATCCTAAGTAGGTTTCATCTTTATTTGATGGTTGGACCAGATGATCTTAGTCATCTTTTTCCAACCTGGATGATTCTATCTGGACTGATACTGCAGTACCTCTGAATTCTAGAAGCTTGTTAGCATGGTCTTTTAAAGAATTTTATTCCGTATTCAGTTACATGAAACAGCACAGAAGCTCACAGCTGATCAGGCAGTCTATTGCTTTTCCAAAAGAAGATACCTTTTAAAAAGTGCTTTTTTTGCAAAGCTCTCTCCCCCTGTCCTAAATCATGAAGTCAAGGAGAATATACTAAACTATACAAGCTGCAGTGCTGAAGTTTAGTCAGGTTAGCAAAATTTTGATAGATGCTGCTGCCTAAAAGGCTACATAAGCTTCTTAGCCTCCGCATTCTGGGCCCAGAATAACTCCTGTCAGATCAATGTGCATTCCTTCATGAAGGGTAAGTTCAGTCAGAATAGCACTGCATATCGAGAAGCTTAAAAAAAGATCTGCTCAAATTGTTGCCCTAACCAAAAATGCTCCACTCTTAAAACAAGAATAACAAAAATCACTTGAGATTTTTGTAATGAGCAGCTAAACATATAATTCAAAAATGTCTTAAAAGTCTTGATCATACAGAAGTTCCCCCTTCTTCCTTCTCATCTACTGGTGCACAGCCAGGTTAGCCTTCCTACAGCAAGCATCTCTAGCCCCCACAGATTTCACTTAACTAATACTGCTATAAACTCACCTTACAGTTCGTGATGGAACGAATGCTAACATCAGTGTTTGAAGCCATGCAGTGTTACTGAACCAAGAAAAACCATGCTGGCACACTGAAGCAGACAACAAGACAAGATTATGCACAAAAGCTGCAACTACGACCATGTTTTGGGGGCTGCTTTGTTTTGACTCTCTAGGCTTCATGCTGGTATTTTTCTCCTTAAGAGAAACTCCCAGCTTTCATGCATTTAGTTGTATTTTAAAAGAGAAAACAAATGTAAGCATATGATTAGAGCTGCAATACAGATAGTGATATCCTTTACATTGTCGTCTTTAGGCACCATTTGATCTTACAGAATTTGGGTTGTTTGTCTTTTTAACTGCAGTGTATCTTTTACGATCAAACAGCAGCTTTACCATGAAGCTATTTTTGTGCTAATCAGAGAAAAGCTGCCAACCAGTGACAAGCCAAAGGTTTCCAGGCAAATGATTAGAAGAACAGTTGACATTGCATCCAATTGTCAGATATTATTACAGTTCAAAGGAGGGGATACTAAATACCCTGAACTCATATTAGTCTGTGCTCCTCTAGTGGCTGAGATCTACATAACTGAAGACTTGCTACAGCATTTAAAAGCATCAGTATCATGATGCTTCTCTCAGAGATCTAGATACAACAAAAGGCATCAGAATGCAGCTTCACATCTACTTCACCATATGTGAAAGAAACCCGAGTCTGCAAGACTGCCCAGCTGTAAGAGTAGGAATGCACAGAAGTCACAGGTACAAACCTCGTTCTTCTCATCTTCCCAAATGATCACTGTTGACTTTTGAGATCAAAAAGGGAGCACAGAGTAAAGGAGATAAAAGTACGTACACTCAGACTTGCATTGGTTTTCACAACAAAGTATTTGTCATGACTTGAACAATGTCATTAGAGCTCAGATTAGCAATGACCTTGCAGCATCTTAAGGTATGTGAAGCATCTTCGATGGGAACTATGCATGCAATCCAGCCTCATAATACCACCACCCTACTACCAGGGCAAAAGCAGCTTCTTTCTAAGGAGGAACACCACTGTAACAGTTCTTGAAACACTTCTTCTTAAGAAAAAAAATACTTACTGTCTGTTTTCAACAGCTTCTGTCACACAGCACAGGTAAATTGAAGATTCTGATTAACAGGAAACCTTCAAATTAAGCCAAGCAATCACCACTAGATCACCCCTCTAAAGCTTTTAGTCCCCAGCAATAACAGTATGTTAGTTCCACTCCCCCCTTTTTTTTTTTTTTTTTTTTACCCTCCTCATCTTGTTTTAAATGCCTTTTGATTAGCTGTGCATTTAAAATAAAAAGTACTGCAAAGGTCTCACTACACTTATCTAAATTTAACAGTGTTTTGAAGAAAACTTTGCTTCAGATTCTTACTGAAAAGTTAACTATCCGATTCTCTCCCAGTAGCATTTACAGAGTTCAAAGACTATTTTAAACACTACTAACAAATCTCTGCTTAAGTACGTGCTAAAATAGTACAGCCCCTCCCAGATCCAAGCAAACATCCTAAAAACAAAAGCAGAAGGAAGTTTTGCATGTTCTGTTATCTTTATTGCAATACACAATCGTTTCTTTCAACTCAGCCCATTTTTAAATGCTTCCATGTACATTTATTTGTAAGTACTACAGATCAAGTCAGCAGAAACAGGAAGGATCCAGAACACGTCAGCAGGTTTTGAGCACAGTGGGGTATTTCAAAGACTACTTGCTTTTTCTGAACTGTTTAGTTTGCTAGGTTTCTTTCTGGCAGCCATCTGAAATGGCAGAAATAAGGCACAAATGCATTACAAGACCTTTCGGCTCTGAGACAGCACCCTCCTGTCCATGATTTGGACCATAAGTCAAAACACAGCATCTGCTTTTCAATTTTATACACCCTGCTATGCAGCTACAGAGCCTGCCACCAGCATGAGAGGTCTGCAAAGCAGTTCAACCCTGAAGGATACTCACTGGGGGACAGAGCAGGGAAGCTCTGTCAAGTCCCACTAGCATCTTCACAGTTAATTGCTATCTCCAAGTCTATAAACAGGTTAGCTTCCAGAACTTCAGTAGTGGCTTATATAAAACAGAGTGGATAACATCCTTAAGTGTTCCCCTGCTTTTAATGTGCTTTCTCTCTACATTACTTCAGCTATGTAACTTTACATAGTGACCTGTTTCTGCATACAGTGTGCTCATAGCCTAAAGGCCAAAAACGAAAGCTTTTTATGAATGTACCTAAACTTTAGTGTTAAGACAGGATTTGTCTTTCTGTGAGTGTGATACAGTCTAAGCCCTCTGTATAGAAGGCTGAACATTTGTGACTGACAACCCATACAAATCCACGAGAGTAGTATTTAGCTACTGTACTACCACTAGAGCACCCTTACAATTCAGTTGATATTTGAACTCTGGTTTTGCTTCCAACAACTCACTTTGTCAGTGAAGACACTTACTATGCCATCAGATTGTCTTAAATCTAACAGCTACTCTTCTAACACAAAACTCATTAAGCAACCAGAAAAAAAAAAACCTAAGCTCCAATGTCAGATCTGAATTAAGCAGAAAACACAACTCCTTCATATGCAGAAACACTGTATAGATATTTGGACAGTTTTGCTATTACACAAATTTTTCTTTGAGAGATCAAAATTAAGCGACAAATCCATAAACTGGGTATTTTTTGCTCAAGAAAGCAGATCTCCTTTACAACCAAACTAATTCTCTAATAGTCAGGCTTCTAGTTTGGCTGAAGCCTGGGAACAAGTTCAGCTTATAATCTGAATACAAAACAAACAGAATATTTTTTCTCTGCTTCACACAACTCCTACAACTTCTGCTTTATTACACTGGTGTAGTTTCCTGATACTGCACATGTCTTATCTCAGTTAATGCAGGATCATTTGAAGCAACTGTCAAGGACACACTGACCTTAACAACTCAGCTTTCTCATGCTGAAACAAAAGACAGAGCCACTTTAAATACAGAGATTCTAGATTCCTTCTGAACAATTAGCACAGAAGCCAGATCCAAACCCAGCACCAAGACATACATTGCATCGACTCAAGAAAAGCACAGCTTTTCCTGACATATACAACCTTACCCAAGTCCATTTAAGCACGAGGGTGCTTAAATTTATTTATTTTAAATAGCATCTTAGCCCAAACAACGTGGCCACAGACTTAATAGCTACTTCTTTGACAGACAAGGAGTATTAATATTTATATTCTCACAATATCTTGCTAGCTACGTGAGGTGAGAGGCTAGACACAGCAATAGAACATATGGGACACAGAAGTCTAGAGGAAGGGACTGACAGTGGCCTCTTACGCTGGGCTCAAGCAAGGGCATGCTTGTGACAACTACTAGCTTGCTTCTTACAGCCAGGCCTTTCCCTGGTCACAGGGACACAGCCAGCCTAACAGCTGCACTTTCAGCTACATAATTATCACAGGGCCCCCATGTACACCATAATTGAGAGATCCCATCTTAAGGGACTCCATTACACACTTGTCTTATTTAACAAACATTATTAAAAAAAAAAAAAAGTCAGCGCTATATAAATAGGAATTGGGTTAACTGAGTGATCTTGGTTGAATTAATACAAAAAATATATTATGAAGTTCAGTTTGTTTTTATGTGGATATCTGCAAAGGAAAACTATGTTGCAAAGCCCACATAGAACTTCTGCAGCAGAAAGATACACAGCTATCACCTCCTCAGGCCCTCAAGGCTGCAAGCAGTTACACTGTGACAAGCTGTCCAGACTCAGACCCACCCGAATTTTCACATTTTCGTCTTGTTTTCCTTCAGAGAATGTCAAGTTACTGCCTTCCATTTGAACAACATCTGAAGGCCACAAAGTAATGCATACATGCAGATCATTTAATGGGAAGGCTAAGTCATATTCCATTCAAGTTACTCCCTTGAATACATACTGATAATTATTCAGAACTATTACACCATGCTTAAAGGATGTTACAAATAATGTAGATCGACTGAAGTTATTATATTGCTTTCCTGGCAATACCTCGACTCTTTGATCATCACCTGATTCATGGTTCTACATAGCTGGAAGTTTCTATGATCATTTCTGCCCTGCACCATGTTGACTACAGAGCAGAACATATGATGAGAGCTTTTCAAGTCAGGTACAAAGTTAAGGAGTTGGGCTAGCAAGCAGAAAGTGAGGTACTAACTGAGGCTTGAAGAGATTATTTAACAGGACTTGGCCACAGCTGAACGGTAAAAACTGGACAACATCGCTGCAACCCACTCCTTAAACAGCTTTAACCATTACAAACTGTTTTATAATTTCTTATTGCATTTATGACAGCACGTTTATCTGTGAGGTGAACAGAACCTCACGTTTCAAGAAGACTGGAACATCAAAGAGCAAATATAATCCAATTGCAGAAAAGAGATGGAGCCTCAATAATTGATTTGGTGCCTTTCTTTTTTCTTTTTCTTTTTTTTTTTTAATGTGTTTTGATGTTTACAGACTCATTGCAAAGGTGATGATCAGTGGCACAAAGTCTGATTGGAGGCCAGAAGCTAGCAGTGGCCACAAGGGTCAATACTAAGTTCAGTCCCATTTTAACATCTTCACTGGTGGCCTGGGTGATGGGGCAAAATGCTCCCTCAGCAAGTTTACAGGTACAGAGGGTACAAAGCCAGAAGGAGTGGTACCAAAAGGGTTGTGCAGCTATCCAGAGGAAGCTTGAAAAGCTGGAGAATTGGGCTGACAGGAACTTCATCTTCCTTTTCCCAGAATTCATTAACCAGATGACTTTGCCTGTTCTACATGCCACAAAGCAGGCACCACAGAATCACAGAATCTCCTGATCACTGGATCACTGAATCCAGCTCCTGACTCCACACAGGACCATCCAAAATCCAAACCCTAGGTCTGAAGAGCGTTGTCCAAATGCTCCTTGAACTCTGGCAGCTTTGGGCTATGATCACTGACCCAGGCAGCTTGTTCCATGCCCAACCACCCTCTCAGAAAAGAACCTTCCACTAACACCCAACCTGACCCTGCCCTGATGCAGCTCCCTCAGGCCAATTCATCCAATTTAGCAATCTTCATCATAGGATAATTGAGGTATTTAGAGACTTTTCTAGGGAAGACAGAAAAAAAGGAAGTTTACATTTAGTCATCTCCCTATGCCATCAAATTATTTTTCACTTCCCTCTCACAGCAAAGCTCCCATCTGACACTGATGGTGGTCTGATTTTTGGCATAAATACGAGGTTTTGCACAGTCTGTTCCAGAGCTTAGTTTTCCATTATCCAATCCAAGAATAAAACTTGTATTTGCTCTCCAGTCATCCCAGCAGACTTTGTGTTCATTCACTCTAAGCAGCAAGCACATTTAGGTTTGTTAGTTCCAACTGTATGATCAACAAGGATAACCTTATTAGCCACTAATACTAAGCATAATTGTAGCATTTTAACCAAGCGGTTTACTCTCCAAGCAGGATCTATACTAGACACAGCTAGCATGTCTTGCAGATAGTGACTCAACTTAGCTAATAGCAGTTTAAGAAGTTAATACACATGTTTAACAAGTCAATCACAAAATTTATTGCTGTCTATCTTTCCACTAATTTGCCATACACCCTTAAGAGATGGACCACTTAAAAAAACATCAATGGATCCTTATGTAGTTCTGAAAAGTTATTTCAGACTCTGTTAATGCAATAACTATTTGAAATGGACTAGACTAGGTCAGGATAGACTAGGAAGGTAAAAAGGTTTTATCCAAAGCCAGCAAGTTCTGAAGGCATACTCTGGGCAGCCTGGTCTGGTGGTTGGTGACCCTGCACATAGCAGGGGGGTTGAAACTAGATGATCATTGCGGTCCTTTTCAACCCAGGCCATTCTATGATTCTACATACGACCTTAAAGGCAACACCTAGGTGCACACAGCCCCATATCTCTTCAAACAGAATGTTTACCATAGCCATTTCTGCTGTGGTAATTTCATTCAGAAGAATTTCAACTATCCCTCAGAATGTTTAAGATTTGAAGCCACATACACACTTAACCATTTGCATACAGTCACAGCACTGGTTAAGAAGTGAACTGCCATCTCTCAGGACAGAATGAGGATAGAATTAATCACTGCATACAACTTGGTTTCATATGAATAACCTTTGATGCTGTTATTTATGGGAGTGGTCAATATGGCCTCATCAACTACATATTTTAATCTTAATTTTTCTAGAAGAGAGTTTAATACATTACTTTCCTAAGCAGATGGGGGTGGGAGGGATGCTTAAATATGTTCTGCTTCACTGAAAAAAATTACACCCACCCATGTTTCTTTTCAAACTAACTCCCAGCCTTTTGCAAGAAAACAGGCTGAGCAGTCACATGGCTGGGTGGCAAAGCATTAGAAAGTCTGTGAACAGTAGCTCATTTTCTTCTGTTATGGCTGAGTCACACAACAGTCAGGAAGTTCTGTACTTAAGAGAACACTTTCAGCAGTTATTTTAACAACCCACTCCAGAATTTTGCTTATGTCTGCAGTTGACACACAAAAAAATCCAAACGTATAAAAGAAAAACACAAAAATGTAATGAGGAAAGTGAACAGTACAGTTCAGAACAGTCAGTTCACTTACCTTTAAATTTTGACCGGATGTTTGCCAGTTCTTTATTTATTCTCTTTATCTCTGCTTCTTTGCTTTTGCCTGAAATCAGAAGAACAGACATGAGGATACAGTGTTTCAAACAGCTGCTGACCTCAAGTTTCTTTCCACCCCATCACTTTGCATGAACATACAACTGTCAGGAGAAATTCTTACTTTCCCTTCCCAAAGCAGCATTAGGACTGGATGAAGGCAAACACCACACAGGGAACTCAAGCACTGCTTTATACGAGAATCCAAGAAGCTAATGACACAACCACGTTTCAAAACATTTTACTTGCAGCCTTTAGACTGCATGAAAGTCTCACGTAGTTAATCTGAGATGCCTTTATTATTGATTTCCATAAATACCTCAGTTCCTGCATTCTTAGAATAAAATGAGGAGGAAAAAATAAAAGTAACTTGATTACTAGGTTGACGGTGCTCTTGAGAAGGAATCTTCCTGAGCACAGTCATCTAAACAAGCAACTCGTGGTACTCCTCAGCTCCAGGAGGAGTCAACTCACTGTTTCTCTATTGAACAGTCATTCAAACAGCTTCAAAAAGAAAATCTTCATGATCTTAATGGACATTAAAAAAGGAAAGTAGAGAAAGTAGTATGAGTGCTCCAAAGACTGAAAGACTTCAGACAGAAGAGATAAGCTTAGGTTTACCACACTTCTGATATGCACCATGGATGTCACCTGACGAAACAGTATTTGCAACTCACATTTTCTCACATGACTAACACCTTAACATTCTCAACAATTTATGTTTTATCAACCTCTGACTCTAAGGATATGTGCTAGGTTTTCAGGAGCTAACCCAATTTAGATACACCAAGAAATAAGCTGCAGTTTCAATTTTAGCAGTGCAATCTTATTCAAGTAATACTTGCACTGTCCAAACCAAAGGTGTTTATTGCTTGTTAGCATTTTGGTTTTTGGTGAGTGAGACTCTACAACAGTCTGAGTCAGTTATCTCCTGTCTGAGTGAGCATGGCAGAATGAATTATCCAGCTCAGGCATCAGATTCTATTGGCTGAAGTTTGGTAGAAGGAAATGAGTCCCATTCTAGGAATGCAGAACTGCCCATCTAGTTGAGATGCAAATTCAGAGACACATGCAATCAGACTTTTCAGCAGTTCCCAAAACATCTCAAGTGGCAGCAGGAAAAGGCAGCTTCCTTTACCATCTGTCACAGGTATTCAGCCACAGGGCCGTGAATAAAAGCTTCCTGTCTCTGTAGGAAAGTGATCCAACCTTATCTGTGCTGGAGATCAGATGCCCCAGTTCCACAAATCCCTTTCCCCACACCACTCTGGTCAGTGTAGGGAAGGTATGTGACAAGGCTTGAAGAGCAGGACCAGCACACCATGGTATCTCCAATCTCATCTCTTTCTTCCACACAAGAATAACTCATGGTGTTTAAACACTATACTACATTTGCATGCTCAGGTCTCCTGTGCTACCCAATAACTGTTTCTCACTCCTTCACAATTCCAAAGATGATCTGGCAGTGGGTCAGATGAACACTGATCAAGTAATTTGAGGAAACAAGTGACTCAGGACAGGTTAATAACAACAAACAGGAATCCCAGACCAAATATGAATTATTCCACTTTGTTACCTCTTCATTTAGACAAAAACAAAAACCCAATAACAACAACAAAAACCACACAACCAGTAAGATATCAAACTTCTAAACAAAAAAAACCAACTTCTGCACTTTGCATAGTATGCAGAAAACTAGTTTATACTAATAAGCTACAGTAATGGCCACAAGAGTACAGACATGAAAAAAGACCAGCACACCATACAGACAGAAACAAGTTAGTCCTAAACTCAAAGCAACTACATAAGTTTGCCTTGTCATTTTAACAAAAATGCTTACAGATGGGCTTAAAATGAACGTTTTCATTCTCTGACATTGTTTTATAGACTCAAGTCACTGAGGTGTTGGGTGCCTTGGCAGGCAGTGCACACAACTGAAAGAAAACCATCTTCCCCCACACCCAACCCTGAAAAACCACCTACTTGCACATACTTGTCCATCTACTGTTATTAACATGGTAAAGCTTTTCAGGGCTCAAGGATTCACAGTACCTGTTCTGCATCACAAATCATATTCGCTATCTAACTGCATCTTGTTTTTCAGATAAAGCTGGAGATATGCCCTGATTTTCATTTGGCCTAGAAACTCCAATTCATTTCTGGACTGACAAGGCTAAGGATCACAGCTCACTTCCTTCACTTCCCTCACTCCTTAGAACTCATCTGCTTGGATCACAAAGTTTAACCCGTTTTCACCAACATTTCACACACGCAGTCTTCTTCAAATTCAACTTGGCCAACCTGTAACAAGCAGATTTTAAAGCAGAAGCACCATTCTCTGTATAAATAGATAACAACTGATAGAATCTAAAGCCCGAAGTGTCTTCTGCCACACATTTTTTATTTGACTTAATTGCAGTAGATTATTTGTCCTGTTCACGTGCAGGAGATATGCTGGTCTTCACACCAAAGAGTCTTGTCAGCATTAGGAATTCAATACTAGACAGAAGTTGGTCTTCTGAAATATATGCCGAAAGGATGCAAGCGTTAATGTAAATTTTAAAAGTTTGAAACTTTCCAAGTTTCCTACACTACCTTAAATCAGTATTCTTTGTCAGACCTGAAAACACATTTCTTATTTCCAGCAATTCATCTGCTCTGGTAAAACAAAAATCAGAGGATAAAGTTCTAATTTCTAGAGCTACTCATTTATCTTCTCCTCTGCCAAGTGAAAGGGGCACATCATTTTAAAGTGTTACCAGTGAGGCTGGACACTGTGTACATCATCTAGATAAAGTGGTCAGAGAACATACTTCAGTCTGGGACATCACTAGTTTGAGTAGAATATTTCACTAAATTTGGAAGCTAGGTGCTTGCTCTGGATCTTTAAGCTGGTCTGCAAGCCAGGTGCATTGAAATATTTACTCTCAAATATTATTAACTGTTTCTCTAACCTCAGGAAGCGTGGCAGTAATCCCTGAAGTTTGAAATGGAGAGGGAGGTAAGAAACACAAGTATGTAGGTCTCATTATGCTTTTCTTAACCCAAAGTGAAATTAAAGCTTTTTCTTTTTGAAGCACCATTATACTCTATCCATTAAACTCACGCATTATTGGCTACAGCTATAAATTGAGTTCTTTACATCCTAAGAAAGTAACAGAGCATTAAGGGAAGCTAGGCTAAAATACTTCAGGAATCTGTGAAGTCAGCATCCTTTGACAGAAATGGATTGCAGCCTCAGCAAAAGAATAAACAAAATCCCACCCCCTGAGCACACAGCTGGAACAGTGCGCTGCCTGGAAGACCCATCAGAAACAGCAAACTCAGTTTGAATTTTTAGATTCTCTATAAGTCATAAATCTGCACAGTACACGAACATAAAACCAGCCTGTTTTTAGTAATTCCTGCAGGCTGTTCTATTTTGAATGCACTACATAATCTCATCGAGAGCTTGACAAAACACAGCTACCATAGCAACCAGCTGGTGATAAAAACTTAACTCCACATATTGGAAACCAAACTTGGATGATTAAGTCCTAAACTGTCTCCTTATTACACACATTTCGTCCATAAAGCATCTGGAAATAATAAAGAAATTACTTAACATCCTAGGAGTTTCATTTAACTGCAGGCTTGTCTAGAATGAGCCATTATGGAGTGTGGCAAGAAGACACAGAACAGCTTTTTCTTTTAAAGCTTTCAAAGGTGTTTTAACAGCTATCCCAAACATCACCTGCAGGGTTATTAACTTCAACAATGCTGTTAGATAAACAAGAAGACTGAAGATATGCTTTTGCCCCTCAAAATTCCTTCTGCGTTGTTCAAGTTCAAGTAAAATGACTTCAATTTTGAAGCCAATGAATGAATTTCACTATTGTCCATTACCAAGGCAAGGCAAAGATCTCTCAGCACCAGCATGTAGTTAAAACTAAGCTGAAACATCTTTAAAAACGTAAAGTTTCCTCCAACAGTTACACTGCACAGTAATCTAATCCAAACTTAACTTACTGTCCACAAAAAGTTGACAAAACACAATAAAATCTCACAGTGGCAGATAGTTTTTCATTGTTACATGTAGAAGGAAAATAAAAAATAAAAAAATAGAAGACTAAACATCAGTTTTAGATAGATCTTCCTTCCCACTAAAAAGGAAGCCAGATCTTCCTTCCCACAGCTAAAGAAAACATGTTTAACCAACAAGCTTTTCTTGTTACTCAGCTACAGTAACACTCATTGAAGGACTTCTACGCTTGATTTTGTCATAGCTAGAAATACATAAGCATCCTCAAGGATGGTCAAAAATGAAGATAAGCCCACTGCTGGTGACAGCTGAAAGAGAACTATGCTGCAGAACTACAGGCTTACATTTCATTCCAAAGGCAGTCATTCCATCTGTCTCATTTCCAAGCTGTTAAGCAGCTTCAAGAAATTATCAGAGCTGTATTCCAAGATGACATGCTGTAGCCAAGCCATTCCATTCAGAGGGACTTCATAAAGGTCACATAACTTATATACTGATGGGTAGGACAGGTAGGACACGATTACATCCAGGCCACATCCTTCTCACTTTCATTCTTCCTGACTTTTTCCAGCTTAGTATGCCTGTGGTTAAATATCCACAGTAAGTGATTAAAAGAGGAGACTTCAAGTCAGTACATTCTGGCCAGTTGTTGTGTAGAAGACACATACTTTCAGCCACAGCTTATGACTGCTGTCAGTCTTCTCCAAGATAAGTACCTAAGTAGATATATCTGGCCACAATATGGTCCAAGGCACTCTGCAAGCAGTTACTTCACATCTGGCAGACTGCCATGCTTCAGACTCCACTCTGCTGCATACTGATTTCATTAGGTGAGGTATATTTATTCTGTGTTCTACTCTTATCTTTAATTACTATCTTGTTTGACAAAGATAGACTGCTGAACATCAAAAGTTATCCAGCATTTTGGGGAACAGGTTACTACCCTTAACCTCTTGGTAATCCAGGCAGTAGTCAAAGCTTTAGTAATA